GGCATGCTTCTTGATGACGGTGCGCCAGTCAAGCTTAGCGTATCACTGAATCCCCCGCCTGTCAAGGCGGAACCTATTCCCAAGGACACGAAACCGACTGTGTTTGGACAGGAAGAGGAGGAGGAAGAGGGCATCAAGAAGCGGAAGGTGCCTCTCGTTAAGCTTGACTTTAGCGCCACCGAAGGCGATAAGGCCAAAGAACGCCTCCAGATGATCAAGGAATCTGTACCCCACAATAAGGAGACGTTATTTAAGGCAAAAGTCAGGTGGGATGGTGTTTCAGATGTAAGAATTTGGTTGTTCGTGCACAAGCTGCCTGCTAATAATGTGCCATAGCCCATGATTGACCGCAAGTTGGAGCCATTGATACGCCGCCGAATGGTCAGCTATCTCGGTGAACTAGAGGATGACGACCTTGTCATGTTTGTCGTGGAGCACCTTAAGGATCACAAGGGGCCTCACAAACTTATCGAAGGGTTGGAGCCGGTGCGCCTTACATGTAATTGGTGTACCTCTCATTCGCTAAACATCCATGAACAGGTTTTGGAAGAAGAGGCACAAGAATTCACCATCAGCATCTGGAGACAAATAATCTTCGAGAGCATGGCATACGGCGAAGGCCTGCACACGGAAAAGCTGATGGTCGATTGAACAGAGAGTGGGCTTTTCACGCTGGGGCTGCTCTGCTCAGGGGGCAGGTGCGTTGTAGCATTAATATCATGTCTGCTGAGGTGTATGAGCTTCGAGAAGCAACTACACTACGCCAGATGAGGATTTAGGATGCTTGATAGGCTGCGGAAGGGCTAAAAGGGTGCATCCGTAAGTACGTCATTGACCTATTCCCGTGACGAATGATACTTCTTTCTGAGCGTACGTGTATCAATCGATCGGTGAAGACCTTTGGGATGTTTCAAATTGCACATGGCACCTTGCTGTTGAGTTCTCAAGATCTGCTTAACGGTTTGGAGCTATTAATTGACGAGGGAATGAGTAATGAGATATGCGCCCAGACCTGACTATTTCCGCTGTCGCCGTATCAAGGTGCTATTGTTGAATAAGCGCACCCTTGGTAGCCTTCGACTTGTTGAGTTTTACCCTTTCCTCGATGCTGTCGGTCTCGTTGACCCGATCTAAGCCGCCTGCTCCCGACCACAGTAAAACGTTATTCGACCATGGTTGTCAAGATTTTCTTCGGCATCTTTTCGACATCTTTTTCTGTAGCTTTACCGGTGAACAAGACTTCCATTCTGAATCCTGATGAAGTTCGGCCCGACCCCGTGTTGCCATCGATTTGACGCTGAGGGATTTTCAGGTACGTCCACGTGCACAACTCTTCACTGACCTATGAGATGGGCGGGTTGAAGTGTTTTGTATTTCGTAAGCGTCGTGGCTAGTTGATACATTGGTATATGCTGCAGTACGGGGAATTTGCTGGAGGATCCAATGAGTGTGTCAATGATTATGAGTGACCGGGCAACTCCGTTCGCCAATTCTGTAACGTACGATCGTTGTTAGCCTTCTACTAGTACCTAGGTACCTAACTCCATTACTCGGAAAATTCCCCTACCGATGTCCTCGGATCTTTCACGGCAGTTCAACGGCATCTGATGAGAATTGAGAAATGTACTTGCGAGTTGGAATGTTGTGGGAGATTTGCAAGACGCCGGCCCAGTCAGCAGACCTCGGTCAAGGCAAATGATCCATATGCCATCATCAACAATACCAGGATTTGTCAATGTTTTGTAGCCACTCCGGAGGGCGGCCTATAAGAACTCCCATGAGCTCGCGACTATTAGGCTGCGTCGTGGCAAGCTTCAAGAGCTCCTGGTATTTATACGACATATAGTTACGCTACTCGGGTCGCTGGTGACTAGGACATACATATCCCGCGTTCATGATGGCGTCGAGCTTGAAGGTTGCGGTCGTCGCTGGCCTAGTTCATACCATATTGGCAGCTACTACCAGTAGTACTACCACCACTGCGCCTGGCACCGCGTTGCCAACATTGACCATTTCGACAGCGGTAGCTAGCCCTAGTGCATCACTAGGCGCGACTCTACCTTCGCAGGCACCACTACCCCCAACCCAAGGATGGTGCATTGGTCAAATCTTTTGCGCTGGTTCAGTACGTTTCAGTCTACAATGATTTTGAGTGTCCCAGTACTAACCTTTGCTCAGTTGTTGCAGACAGTCAATATCGCTCAGGTGTACTCTGACCCAAAGACGTTCGTGGATAAGCCAACCGGCAAGTCTTCTCAGCAAGTTCTTGCAGACTTCAGCAACTTCAACTTGTCGATGGCTACCGAAGGGGAGGTTGTGAATTTTGTTGATAACGATTTCCTTGGGGAAGGACTTGAACTGGAGGCTGCTACTCTCACGAACTTCAATCCTACTCCAGCATTCCTCAACAACGTGACGGACCCTTTGTTGAAGGCGTTTGCGCAAACTGTTCATGGTTACTGGACTCAGCTTGCCCGTAGTACCAACCAGTCTGCTGTCTGTAACGACTACCCCGGCGGCACGTGCGAGGGCTCGTTCATTCCCCTGAACCATACATTCGTTATTCCTGGTGGTCGCTTTAGAGAACAATGTTCGTGTTTCTCTGTGTCTCTGCTCAGGTGGATATCGATGATATCTGGTGGCTTTCGACAGATTACTGGGACAGCTACTGGATTATTCAGGGTCTATTTCAGTCAGAGTTATATGAAACTGTAAACACCACTTTGCAAAACTTCATGGATGAGATCGAGGACTTCGGTTTCATTCCGAACGGTGGTCGTATCTATTGTGAGTAGATCGTCCTGAATGAGTCGGTGCATCTCATTGTTAGTGATATAGACTTGAACCGGTCACAACCACCTCTCTTTATCCATGTGAGTTCTGCTGAGATTTAGATTTCTTCGATGTGATCATGACATCAAATTGTGACACAGATGGTGTATGACTATGTTAACGTGACTGGAGATACTTCGATTCTACAACGTGCTCTTCCTTTGGCCGAGGTCAGTAGTCTACTTCGTTTGTAGAGTACACATTCTGAATATCTGTACAGGCTGAGCTTGCCTGGTGGGCAAATAATCGCACAATTAGCGTCACAAGCCCGTACACCAACCGAACCTACATGATGGCACACTATGCAGTTACCAACACTGCTCCTCGACCCGAATCATATCTCACTGGTGGGTTATTCTGGTGAATCCGACTCTCCTACCTTTTTTCTCAATGTGCCAATATTTAGATTATCTGACTGTTCATGACCCAACTCTTTCTACACCCCTTACGGATGATCAGGCTGCCGAGCTTTACAGCGAGCTTGCATCTGGCGCTGAGACCGGATGGGATTACAGTTCACGCTTTGAGGCTATCCCTCAGCTTGGCAACCCTGGCCTGCGCTCGCTCAATGTGAAGAACAACATCCCAATCTGTCTTAATAGTATTCTGTGTATGTCAATTTGTTGTTGTGCGTTTTGGTTGATGGGAACTTTGGGATGACAGACAAGGCCAGAGTGCTTCTTGCCAAGCTTTACGGCACGTCCAATGCGACTGCGTCAAGCAACCATCTCCAGGTCGCTACCGGCATTCGTGAGGGTATCCTGGACCTCCTTTGGGACCCAGCCAAGCTCGCTTTTTATGACTTTAACCTGACTTCCAATGCCCGCAACGATATATTTACGGCCGCAACTTACTATCCTGTTTGGAACGGCATCATCCCCGATGAAGTCCTCGCTTCTCAGTCCAATGCATTTGGTTACTTCGCAGCGGTCAATTTGGCAGTAAACAAGTACAATGGTACAGTTCCGGTCACTTTTGTCGATTGGACTGGCTTGCAATGGTAGCTCTCTACGTCTTTTCCATGTAGATCTTCTTATGACACGTATATTACAGGGACGCCCCGAACTGTTGGCCTCCACTGCAGTACATCATCTTGCAGGCACTGCAGGCTATTCCGTCTAATCTTACCAGCAACGGGTTGCCTACACCCGACTCAAATCAGTCTACATATGATCTCGTCCCGGCAGGCCAGCTTGGCTTTACGGAAGCTCAACTTCCTGGTCAACCGATCCTCGGATCACCAACCAATCAAAACGCGACCGCAACTGGTCCAGCGGCGGATATCAACAAGTTAAGCGGTACTGTCATTAATGGCGGAAATGCCACTGCGGGCGAAGGGTGGCGGGACACCCTTCAACGCGAGTTGGCTAACAGATATTACGTTAGCGTGCTCTGCAGTTGGTAAGTGAGACACACCTGTTCTTCAATGAAGCGCGCTGAGACATCCTCAGGCATGCCACTGGTGGTTCAATTCCAGGATTGCTGCCCCAGCTTCCAACTAGTGAGCTAAATATAACCAACAGCGTTGGTAACACTGGTAACGTTTGTCATTCTCAATCTGATTCTTCAGACCACATACTCACGTGTAATGCAGATGTTTGAGAAGTTTTCCAACCTCAATGTCGACGCTTCTGGTGGTGGGGGTGAATACACCGTTCAGGCTGGATTCGGATGGACGAACGGCGTACTCCTTTGGGTTGCCTCTACATACGGCGAGCAGCTTGTTGCTCCGCAATGTCCACCAGTTGTCGCTGCTACTACTAGTACTACTACCAGCACGAGCGCGGCTGTCGGTCTACAGGCATCGTCGAGGGGCGTTATCATTGCCGTGATGGCTTTTATGGCATCTGTGATCTTGTAGATGTTGCAGATACCGATTGTTGACTCTGAGGTCCGAAACCTCGCGTACACAGAGTATGGCGTCAACCTGTTACATCAGTACACTTTTGTTGTTATTTTCCCCTTCGTGGTGTGTAGAAATCCATTGAACTCTTACCAGTCACTGTTAACTAGCCCTTTTCCACACATCGTTTTTATTGAATCGACTATCTAAATGTATCCTAGACTAGAAAACAACCCCTCTTCTAGTGTTAAATTGTCAGTAACAGGCCATTCGCCCTGTACGAGCACCCTTATAACCAAGGAGCTGCTTCCAGCAACGTCAGTGGGACAATGTTAAACAATTTTATGAATATCGGAAGGTTCGATATCACCCAGGGTCATGCTGAAGAGTGCGTGACTGTAGGAGGACCTATCGACGAAAGAACGACAAATAATGGTATAATTCAGTGTACAGAGGACTCGCAATCAGAATCACCGTATCACAGCTTCGCTTTGGGTTTCATCCGCATCTCCCTGGCCTTGTCTCTTAGCACCCTCCTCAAAAGTTTACCGCTCGGGTTCTTCGGGACAACATCAATGATCTCGACACCCCCAGCAAGCTTCTTGTAGCCAACTTTATTCTCAGCAACGTGCTGTAAAGTCGAAATATAAGCGCTACACGTTCTCTGGTGTTTCAAAGCGCTTACTTTCATAATAGACGCTTTGATCTCCTCCGCAGCTGCAAGACTTTCTTCGACACGTTTGACGGCCTCGGGGCGGAGAACAACGAATGCAAGTGGTAATTCGCCACTATATTCATCTTGTATTCCAACCACGCACGTATCAGTCACGTCGGGGTGGTCCAGAATGCACCCTTCGAGTTCGGCAGGTGCGACCTGGAATCCACGGACCTTCAACATTTCCTGTAGGGGTACTCGGTCAGGTGAGACAGCGATCTAAGGTCAATCACCCAACCTTTAACCGGTCAAGGACTACGATTTCGCCCTTGCGGTTCATCATCACCTCATCACCGGTACGGAGCCATCTGCAAGCAAAACGTCAGTCACCAGTTAATCGAAGGCCTACCTACTCACCCATTTACAAAGGTTTCCTTCGTTCTGATTACGTTACGGTTAATACGTGAGTAGTATACGGAAGATAATTTCATACGCTTCTAGGTTGTTCGCATAACCAAGCGCAAGCGCCTGCGTCTTTACGACAAGCTCTCCAGGTTCGTCAAAGTCGGCAAGAGTGCCATCGGGCTTCTCCACGCGGCCGATAATACCGGGAAGGAGTTGGCCAGTACCACCACTCAAGTCGCATTTCTTATCTAGTGCCCAACTGCTTATAACAGGCCCTGATTCGGTAAGGCCTGTGGCCGCTGGGATGAGACATGGACACACATCATTCAGAGATGGACTAACCATAGCTCTGCCCAAGTGCGGCATTCGGGAATATCTGAGCAAGCTGCTCCATTACCTCACGAGACAGGGGTGCAGCGCCCGAGTTGATGTATCGAACATGACTAAAGTCGTAATTCTTGACAGCTGGATGCTGGATGGCAAACGCAGATGGGTGAGAGACCCGATCATTCTGGAATTACGACTCACCAACCTTGCATAGTAGCACAATTTGTGGGGGGACCAACCTAAAGTCATGCTCAGGTGAGGTCAAATAAAGCTCGAGGACGACATACATAAGATGAGTAATGCGGTGCCTGGTTATACTCTTTAAAAAGTCCAGAAAGTTATATTTCGCTGTTAATACAAGCGTCATCTGGGTATGCTTCAGTCAATGCTCGAATGCAGACTCAGAAGTATATCGACGCACTCCGCAGAAAAAGATGTAATGGACCTACAAGATATTCAGTAATGCAATAACCAGATGAACTGAGCTCGTACATTGAACACCAATCCATAGATATCTGGAAATACCCAGTTTCATAACAACATAACGACGTTGCAAGAACGGTAATGGCTCACGATATAAAGGAAGCACTGCATAGTTGATCAAGCCGAGCCCTTCAGATAAATAGTAACGCACGCACCGCCACAGCATATGTCACCAGGTTTAAATCTTTGATCAGCATATTCCTCGCCAACTTTGTGGTGCGTGGCAAGCTGAATGATATTTGCAATCGGTGAGTAGTGGGGAATTGCAACGGCCTAATGTATGGCATGTGCAAGTTTCATCCACTTGCAGGTCCTCGCGAAATACGTGCTCACCTTCGGGCGACCAGTGGTCCCGCTGGAAAATTTCAGAAAGGCCACCTTAGTTTTCCCTTCACCAGGAGCAAGTTTCCGTTCTGTGAAGTTTGGAACACTTGCAAGACCTTGCGAAACCAAAGCTTGCACAGTCAATTTATGCGCGGTATCCGCATCCTCGACGTCAAAAAGAATGATGCGATCCGTGGATACACCAGCGGCATGTGCAGACGATAGGGCCACATTGAGCGAGTCCGGGTGCGTAATAACGACGGCTGCTTTTACTTCATTGATTTGATATACAAGTTCGTCGACTGTGAATAGCGGGTTGGCACCGCTTGTGGGCGTATTTCAGGATGTTTTATGCGACTTAGAGGATTGAACATACGATACGGCAGCACCAAGTCTGTGAGCCGCCCAAGCAGCCACAAGGTAATCTACGGAATTCATATTGTCAACCCAGACATACACTGCATGCGGCGAAGCTAGCTCGCATACCAGTATGATTTGGACTGTAGATCAACACTATCAGGCGTGAGGGAATCATCAATACTTGCAAGTGCTTGGTTTATAGTGTCATTACCAACATCATCCTCCTCTATGCGGAGCCAGAGGAGTCAGTATACACCGGTCAGTACTATGAAAAAGTAAAGAACGGACGGATGTTATAGCGGATACTCAAAGCATTAGCCAGACCATACGTCCGAGTTCTGAGCTGTGAAGTATACGATTAGCCATGGCAACTACCGACCGGAACAGCAGATAATGTTAACCCCACATGAACTTTTGCGCATTTCCCACCAAACAATTGCTTATTTTCATTGACCACACTCACCTCCTCAAGCCCAATCTTTCTCCCACTTTGGTCATCAACAATCCAGGCACCATTCTTACGAACGGGCCTCCTGACATGGTCTGCATCCAATATGAACTGCGCAAGCGTGAGGTTATCGGGTATGTGAGGGAGGATTCCTGCGGGCGACACGACTTCAGTCATTCTCTATTTACCCAGGTCAATTCAAAAAGGCAAGAACAAAAGCAAGGAACGCTCTGTAATGAAAATTCTCATGCGTGTTTTTATACCTCGATATCAATTCACATCTTATCTTTATCCTTTTCCGTCACCGATTACACCGTCGCTCGCCGAAAACCTATTGAAGTGTAGCGAACCTGCCCGGTCAAATGCCATTCACAAGTACAACATAAGGATGGTTTTCTCACCAAGCGTGCATGTATTGCTGTCAGTTTATAATCAATACTTGTTTCGAAATGATTTCAATATGATGAATTCATTGCGCCAGAAGAGCGTCTGCCACAGCTTTCTACATCCGGAGATATCCAATTTGTGGGAAGCCTAGGGCGTCACGCGCACCACGCTAAGCGTTTCAACGTTTCAACCTAAGTATGGTCTGACAAGATACCGGTGTTAAACGTTGAAAAGTTGACGAACTGCAAGCGGCGTCGCCGTAAGTTGCCGAATATGCGTACCACACAATAACAAACAATTTCTTGCCAGAAGATATGGACGGCGTGGTGCGCGACGCTGACGGTACCGAGTTCGAACATAGGCCGGAAGGAACATGGGAGTGGAGAGAGACACCGAGTTTCCTTATGCCTCCTCGATGCGAATGGCCTCAACATGACCTCTTGAGTCTTTGATGACTACTACCTCTATTATATACCTTTGTCACCGCGTCTTCCTTGTCTTGATCGTGTACCATCCAGCTACCTCGACCTCCGATGACGAACGTATCGATATACCGCATATGCAGTATATACCATCGACGAGACACTCACGGTAAAGATCTTGAGTGAGTCAATTTTGGAATTGATTGGAACAGTGACACGAGAGGGCGTCCTCTAGACGTACTTTAGGGACATCCGTTTTCATGTTCAAATTGTGTATAAGATCTAAATTACATCTCTGCGAGTCTCAGATAGCCTGGAGTTCTGCCTAACAAAACCAACTTGCGTCTGTTTTATCAGTGATGCAGGCACATGCAGACTGGCTGCCTTTACACTACCTGCGTATGGAAGCCAACGTAGTTTTCGACTCATAGGATTTCAGCCATGATATTCACCTCATTCACCACCGTGATCATATCTGTCACAGCGATGGCTGGCGTAGCTATCGCATCCGACAACCTGAACGTATCGCCTTTGGGCCTACCCTGCTTCTACCCTAGTAAGCACTTTTGCGGCTTACGTGCAGACCTCTTTGTGAGCATATCTGCTAACACAATACACAAAAACATACCTGAGGCCTGGAGGTCGCGTATTCTTGTTCCTGGTACCGATGGTAAGGGAGGTAACAACGTGGGGTAACTTGAAGCAAGATTCCGAACACCTGGAGGACAAGGAGAAACATGGGACGGCGGTTGATACGCTTTTCTGTGCCCCCCAAAGTTCTTCACTCTGCTTGGAGGCTGGGCCCCTCAAGAGATTACATAGTATACATGCCGTCCTGCGGCAATAGCCTGCATGAAGGCAATCCTACAATACCCAATCTGATTGTTTCTCTTGTATCGACGAGCTCACGCCCGTTGTGCCTTCGGCACAAATCGAAGGAGCGCTACGCGCTCCTTCAGGGTGGGAAAATGAGTGTTGTTCCTTCGTCACAGGAAGCCAAGGAGGGCTACGCCCTCCTTTGGCTTCCTGGCCTCAGGCTGCATCCTAATAAATTGTGCATTTTGAATAATTTTGAAAATACATTTATGAGCAGTTCAAAAAAACTAAAAGTACAATCTACCACCACATAAAGTACATAGTAAGATCAGTCAGTTCTACATTCTTTGAGCAAAATTCTGACAAAATTACAAAATATATAACAGTATCATTGAATGTATTTATTTTCCCATCTTTGCCTGTCGGAAAAAAGTTCCCAAGGTTTTAAGGCCTTGCAAGACATTTTAATGCTCTATTTGGAGGGTGTCCTTATAAGGGCTTTTAAACAGGTAAGATAATATTTTAATGCCCATTAAAAGGCACTTATAAGGGCCCTTTTGATGAACTTACATTGAGTTTTGCCTCGCCATGCCTCAGAATGGCCCATTAAAATGCCTTGTAAGGCCCTCTTAAGGTGCTGAGCCAAACTTGTAATCCGGCAGTATTACAATGGTACCTAACTTTTTTCCAACACCTACCCACCTCCCGTCTCCCGTCTCCCGTCTCCCGTCTCCCGTCTCCCGTCTCCCGTCTCCCGTCTCCCGTCTCCCGTCTCCCGTCTCCCGTCTCCCGTCTCCCGTCTCCCGTCTCCCGTCTCCCGTCTCCCGTCTCCCCATCTCCCATTCTCCAGTTTTTGAGTCTCTCCCATTCTCCCATCTCCCATTCTCCCTGTTTCCCATTCCCAATTTTCTGTCCCCCTGTTCTCCAGTTTTTGAGTCTACATTGTCTTTGTTTCCTTATTATTTATTTTTTCACAACCTTTTGTTGTTCATTTCCTGTCACTACATATATTCATTGTCCCCCTGTCTGTATCATATGTTGTTCCATTTTCATTTTTATTATTTACTGTATGTATGTACCATAAACAATTACAATAGGGAAAATACTTGTGTTGAGTAGTGCGCAGGCAGCGGCAATTGAGTCGGCGCTCAAAAACACGTGACAATGCCACGCGAGTTTCCAAAAACAGGCTTAAGCGAGGTAAGCGAAAACCATGTGGCCTTAAGCGTATCTACGCGGCGCAAGCGCAAACCACGCGAGCGCGCGACTCCTCCCGAAACCGTTCTCCCATTCTTCTTAAGATTTTCTCACAGTGGAGATGATCAGTCATGTCTACTCTATATGATAGTGCTACTCAATAATGCAGTCCATGAAACTGGAGGCGTAATAAATGGGATAGATATCATGAGTCCCCACTGTTCTCATCTTTCAGTGCCGATGCATCGTCGCCGCCAAGTACCGTCGATTCGTCGTCGGTTTGGAGTCTTGACTCGTTATCACTCTCGTACTCGGAAACTTCCTCGATGACCGAAACTTCCCTTGTTGCAAGATCCTTGTCTGTCCGTGTACTCAGCTCCGGATGAGTGTCGATGAATGCTTGCAATGATATGGGTTCATCCTCTGGATCGGGTGCTTGGAGCGTCGATCCCTCCGCTTCGTAGAAATCGGTGAGGGTGAGCGAACGCATATTGAAGCCCTTGTATGTTCAGTTGATGAGGTCCACGAATGACATCTCGAAAAGCGTACCTCTTTCTCGACCTTCATCAACGCTTCTTCGTCGTGCTCCATGGCGCGCATACATTCCCTCACTGGGACCATCGCAGCATTGCGGCATAATTCGCGCAAATCAGAACCAGAGAATCCGGTTGTCTGAGAAGCAAGGAGGCGCAGGGAAATCTGGGGATCCAGTTTCGTGTCCTTGAGCATCTAATAGAGTTCAGAGCGAGCAATTGATCCATCGGTGATATAGACACGTACTAGGGACAGAATTTTGAATCTTTGTTCTGCATCTGGAAGAGACACAGCGAACCGCTTCGGCATGCGCCGCAGAATTGCAGGGTCAATGTCACCCGGTCTGTTTGTCGCGCCGAGCACTAGTATCCTATCAGAGCCTGATGTCAAGCCATCCCATGAACTAGGCATCCGCGGTCAGTCAAAGTTCGAGCTGAAAAGGCATCGCTCACGTCATGAATTCTGCCTTCATCATACCCATGACCTCGTGGTCATCTCCGCGGCGTTCCCTCAGGAAGGAGTCGATCTCGTCAACAAATATGATCGCAGGTTGGACCTTCCGGGCGAGGCTGAACAGACCTGCGACTAGCTTGTTGGACTCACCAAACCACTTATTTGTGAGGGTTGATGCGGGAACGTTAATGAATGTTGCGCCTGACTCCTTGGCCAGCGCACGAGCAAGCATAGTCTTCCCACATCCCGGAGGTCCGTAGAGTAGAACACCTTTTGGGGCCCCAAGGAGTGGAGACGCTGAGGTGAAAAGAGCGGGGTGGATTAAAGGATAAATTATGGTTTCGCGGAGAGACGATACGATTGACTCCAAACCCCCGATGTCTGAGAAATGTTGGTTGGCATTGGAGATTCATTTACAGAAGACCGCGGACAAACCGTTAAATCGGACGGTAATTTCGTCTGGGTGAACAACCTCCTTTGATATCGCTCCTGCAAGAATACCCGGAGGTCAGCAGGAAGCGGCGCGCAGCCGAAGAGGTCACACGCACTCTCATACTCATCTAGCTTGAGGTTCTTTTGCCCGATGATCTTCTTGATTGCTTCAGCACTCTTTGTTGTCCGGTCGTCACTCCGCTTGAAGTACCACTACAAGAATATCAAGTACGCTTCCCAGAAATTTTCCATTGCGGACGCACGCGAATAGCACAGTAAACCGCTGCCTAACGCAGATTCTCAGCTCTCGGGAGCAAAATGATTGACAAATCGAATAATCACCTGTGAAGCTAGGAATAGAGCAACTGCAATCGTATCAGTATAGTAAGCAGCATTTGTAAACGAAACCGACGGAAAAGCATACCATCCAGGATTATTAAGCGTCTTGTGCTCATGGAAGATGCCATCGAAGAGGAAAAGAAGCTTGATAACGTATTATGCAGTCAGAGAGTATATCTTCGTGCCCGCAATTTCTAAGAATTGGGAAGGAGGACGTGATGACTGGCAGCAGCGTGGTCGGTAACGGTCGTTAATCACAAGATTTTCATAGTGTTGTTTATATGTATTTGACAAGAGCTTTAGAATTCAATAGAGCCACACTTCATTGGAAATATGTTCAGCGGCTGAGTCAGAGCCTCTCTTCTTCGTCCAAGTTCTCCGAGATTGCACAAGTTTAGCTTTTGTCGTTTACCCTAACCTTGACCATAGTCCATCGTGTTTGGTTTTACTTGTCGCCAAAGTAAAGCAAAAATATATGCCAGGACCGTGGATTGAACACGGGACCTCCAGAAAACATCACACTTCAGTCTGTTGCTCTCCCAGCTGAGCTATCCCGGCTTTGATTGAGCGCCCTGCAGCTATATGTCGACATTGCATCCTATCTTACCGGAGGTACTAGTACTATATAGTGCTGTTCGGAAATGTAATTGTTACGTGGACATCTGTTGGCGAACCCTGCTGGAGCCAGCTGAACAATCTGCGAATCAGACTCCGTTAGTGCCCGTGGCAAGCGGAAGAACGGGTCCGCTCCGGATATATAACCATGATAATATCTCGTATGGGGAAATCATGTGGTCTGAATTCGCAGCTGATAACTTCTGTTACAGAACCGAATGCTTCAATCCCTGTCACGTTCCCTAGCTACCTCCGCTTATCGGGTAGATGTTAGTGGTTGAAGCCGTCTTAAATAAGTCACACTGACCACTGTTACCTTCCCAGACTCTCCATCACCTCTCCACCATGTCAACTGTGCAATCAACTCAATGGATGAAATACTTTGGTGATATCTATGGACGTGAAAAATCACCTGTTCTGGGCTCTTTCGCAGTGAAAGAGATAGAGGACACAGCCCGGGAGGTAATGAAAGACCATCTCCGTGAGTGTTATCATCCGCTCAAGTCTCAACTCTTGATTCGAACGAGGTGATAGCGGCATACATGTACACATTTGGGAGTGCGGGAACGTGCTCGACAGACGCCGAAAATAGGCGTGCGTTCAACCGGTGGAAAATTGTTCCTGCAATGCTCAGGGACTGCACTAACCGAAGTGTCGAAGTGAGTATTTATGAGCGCGTGATACCCCTGTCTAATGTATTTCTGTATCTGGGTAGACAACGATCTTTGGACAGAAGTTCAACGCACCTCTTTTCATCGCACCCATAGGTGTACAGGGTATCTTGCATGCAGACGGAGAACTCGCAACTGCAAGGGCTGCCGCTGCCTGCGGAATTCCTTACATCATGAGCTCAGCATCATCCCGGTCAATCGAGGATGTCGCAAAGGCAAATGGGCCAAATGGTCAGCGGTGGTATCAGCTCTACTGGTATGTTCAATCTTGCATCACCATTCATTTCACTTATCATAACTCGACTGCGAACACTCAGGCCGCGCACGGACGAGATAACAATATCTCTTCTTAACCGTGCCAAAGCGGCAGGCTTCTCTGCACTCGTGATCACGCTCGACACCATGCTCTTGGGTTGGCGTCCACATGACCTTGACACCGCTTACATACCCTTCTTTTACGGCGTTGGTATCCAGGTTGGCTTGTCTGACCCCGTGTTCATGAAGCAGCACGGGTACGAACCTGTGCACGAGACCACCAAGTTCCCTTTCAAGCCAGAGGAGATTAGAGACGCGGCGTTGAAAGAAGGTGATGCGAATGCCAAGAAAGCAATGAAACTGGGCAAGGAGTGGCTCGGACAAACCAACTCAGGCTCTTTCAGGTCATGGGAGGATCTACAATTTATCAAAGATCACTGGGATGGACCTATCATTCTGAAGGGGATTCAACGGACCTCCGTAAGTTCATGTCTTTTAGTTCCACGATGACTTATCACAACGCTCGCAACAGGATGCGGAGAAAGCTATTGATATGGGCATTCACGGCATCATTGTATCCAATCACGGCGGACGGCAAGTCGACGGTGCCATTGGCTCCTTGGATGCATTAGCCAAGATCATGCGCTCGCAGAAGATTATCCAAGCGCAGGCGAAAGGCGACCTGACGGTCCTCTTCGACTCTGGTATTCGCACAGGCAGTGATGTCATCAAGGCCATGGCAATGGGTGCACAGGGAGTCCTCAGTACGTGTTATAATTTTCTGCAGTGGTAGTTTCTTATTAAAGAATCCTAGTTGCTCGTCCATACATGTACGGACTTGCCACTGCCGGACAGGCAGGAGTCGAGCAGATTTTGATGCAAACCGTGACTGATATGCATATCACGATGGGTCTCTGCGGGTACAGTGATGTCAACGACCTTATTGGGAAGCGGGATGAGCTTCTCGAACTCGTAGATGATTGAACGGCATAAATTAACACATCAATTCTTTCATTTGTAGGAAGACTGTATTATGAACTATGTATCCCAAATGACATCTCGAAGCTCATCAAAGCAGAAATGCATTATACACTCACTGAAAGTTTGTCAAACCGCAAAATTGCCTTTAGACAGTGCTCACCTCAAGCTTCTGCCGTGCTTGGATCTTATAAACGACAAGACCAACACTAATGCATTAATGTCTTGACATCTGTTTTTACTAGCATTTGAGTGATCAGTATCACAACTTCCAGCAAAATTTTCCCACTTGCATAAATTTCGGAACTATTGGTCATGATGTGTAACCAGCTGACGTGCTTCAGAAAATGGTACACTGGCACACTGCTTCGTCTTGACAATCATTCTTTTATATGGTTTCGGGCCGACTTGGCAAATGACCTCACATGGTGCGAATTCAACAACTTTATCATGGATGGACCCAGGACAACTAGGGACAACCGTAACTGCTCTTCTCGGCAATGTTTACCACAGGGCCCAAACCTGACACAAACGTTCCTCTGAGGTGCATCTCTACGAGAATGAACACGAGGCAAGTCAATGAACCAATGGACCATGGGTAAACAGGTTAATTGTAAGTGCCTACCACTTTGAATTGAAAACCAGCTTCTTGTCAGGAAGTTGAATCATTGCACTCACGATACTCGGACCGCCACTATCTTGTCATCGCTTTTTCGAGAGAAAACGTTTCATACGTGGCCATTGCAAGATGCCCAATATTTCCGTTCACCAGCTCATATATAATAGACCACTGGGTATGATATTGTTCTCGAGTTCTTGAGTCAGCCATGTTCTCCGCTGCATCCTTGTTGACAATTATCCTCTTGGCTTTGTCAACCACGGGATCGCCCGTTGAAGTCAGCAGTTCTCCCATCACCCTCCAGATTGCCAGGAGGCTAAGTGCCCTCAATGGTACCATTAACCTCTTGGAGCAGGATAGAGCTCGCGCGGCTGCCCTCAGGCTTAAGGGCCACAACTTGAAGCACGATGGCCATGGTGTTCCTATTACTAACGTTGCTAATGGATACCACATAGCAGTTGGGATTGGCAGCCCCCCTACAACTTGTAAGTTCAATACTGAGAAAATATGCGACTGCTGATGTGTTATCGAAGACAACTTGATTGTCGATACCGGTACCTCGAACACATGGATTGGCGCCAAACAAGCGTACGTGCAGACCAGCACCAGCATCGACACTAAGGAGCCTGTGGAGGTCATCTACGGTTCCGGAGGTGCCTACTTCTCTGGTATGACATACAAATATAATATAAGTAATCGGATATCCATGATTATTTACAGGATCTGAGTACATCGACACCTTCACTTTCGGTAGTGGGATCACTATCCCCCAACAGTCGTTTGGTGTTGCTTTTCAAACGTCGGAAAACTTCGGCGGAGCTGACGGTATCCTTGGCCTAGGGCCTGTAGGCTTGACAGCGGGTACCCTGACAAATGAACAGACAACGACGATCCCAACTGTCACTGACAACCTGCATAGCCAAGGAACCATTCATCGTGAGGTTGTTAGTATCTCTTTCGAGCCCATCACTTCAGCGGTGGAAGTCGTCAACGGAGAACTCACCTTCGGTGGAACTGTCCGTAACAAGCACGGTCCCATCACGTACACGTAAGCTACTTCAGTCCCTACATCAATGCAGCTTGATAGTAATCGTTTTGTTTCAGTCCTATCACTACCACCAGTCCTGCATCGATGTATTGGGGTATCGACCAGAGCATTTCCTATGGCTCCACAACGATCTTGTCCTCCACTGCTGGTATCGTCGATGTTGACACCACTTTTATTCTCATTGCCACCGGTGTGTATATAGAGTGCAGCGAGCAATCATGGTCTAATCAATATTATCTAGATGCTTTCAACCAGTACCAGTCTTTAACCGGTGGTACTCTGGATCCGGCGACTCGCCTTCTCCTCATTTCCTCTGCCCAGTACGGAGCCCTCGAGAACCTGAACTTCCATATTGGCAGCGTACGCTATTTCTGGCAGCCTTCACATCTCTTGTTTATCATTTGCACAGGAAACATACTCTCTCACCCCTAACGGTCAAATCTGGCCTCGTGTTCTCAACACGTACATTGGTGGCAGCAGCAACGCCATCTATCTCGTCATTCACCACATTGCTACGCCCAGTGGCCAAGGGTTTGACTTTGTTAACGGCTACCCATTCGCCGAGCGATTCTACTGCGTGTTCGATACCTCCCGGTCCCGCATCGGGTTTGCTCCAACCCCGTATACTGATGCCACCACCAACTAAAATGGAACTGCCCAAGTATGCGAAGGATCGATTTTCAGACGCAAAACAGCATACAGATTTGGACGTTGTACCGACTCTTCTTAAGTAGACTATGGGATTGCGTGTAATTAGCAATAGTATCACACCTACTTGCTTAGGATATCTCAAATGGTGAAATGCCAATTTTGTCATCCTGTTTAACTTGTCGTCACTGTTCTAGTCACATGGAGGGAGGACATGGCAGCCATACACTGGAAGCTGCCCACAATCTGCCCGCCGTATTATGACATAATCTAGCGCGCGTCGTCAGCCCCCCGCCATCAGCCTCTCCCCTCCCCCACCATTTCACGTTGCCCGCCGTGCGCACTGACAACATATCATCGACTACAGCTCCGCAGCTGCAAATATTCCAGGTGCCGTCCTGCGGATGTCACCAATCGGACTCGTCGTTGATTGCACCTACTGATCCGTGACACAGGGGTGGGTAAAGTGCTGGCGGGGGTGGTTGATGTAGATGGCAGGGGTGGCTAGCCACTGACGGGGATAGCTGATGGGATCAGCGTCATAGTGGCTGCGTGGCGGGAGTACTTGATGATGTCAGAACAGACAACCCGGAACTTGCCGACAAAACACCCAGACCCAGGCGGAGTCTGCGCAGACTTAATACAGACCAGCCATTTCCTACATGCCCTCGTCATCTCAGGCTTCTGCCGTGCCTGTCAGATCTTGTAAACAACAAGACCAACATTAATATCTTGACATCTGGTTTTACCAGCACTTGAGTGATCAGTAAATCGTGCAACTTCCAGCAAAATTTTCCCATTTGCATAAATGAACTATTGGACCATATGTAACCAGCCGACGTGCTTCAGAAAATGGTGAGTCCTTGTCACTATATCATTCTTTTATATGGTTTCGGGCCGAGTTGGCAAATGACCTCACATGGTGCGAATTCAACAACTTGATCGTGGATGGACCCGGGACAACTAGGGACAACCGTACTAACTGCTCTTCTCAGCAACGTTTACCACAGGGCCCAAACCTGACACAAACATTCCTCTGAGGTGTATCTCTACGAGAATGAACACGAGGCAAGTCAATGAACCAATGGACCATGGGTGAACAAGTTAATTGTAAGTTCCTACCACTTTGAATTGAAAATCAACTTCTTGTCAGGAAGCTGGACCCTGGCACTCGTGACTCGTAACACTCGGATCACCACTATCTTGTCATCGCTTTTCGAGAGGAGACGTTTCATACGTGGCCATTGCAAGATGTCCAATATTTGCGTTTACCAGCGCATATATAATAGATCACTGAGTATGATATTGCTCTCGAGTCAGTCATGTTCTCCGCTGCATCCTTGTTGACAATTATCCTCCTGGCTTTGTTGATCACAGGATCGCCCGTTGAAGTCAGCAGTTCTCCCATCACCCTCCAGATTGCCAGGAGGCTAAGTGCCCTCAATGGTACCATTAACATCTTGAAGCAAGATAGAGCTCGCGCGGCTGCCCTCAGGCTTAAAGGCCACAGCTTGAAGCATGGCGGCCATAGCGTTCCTATTGCCAATGTTGGTACTGGATACCTCATAGCAGTTGGGATTGGCAGCCCCCCTACAACTTGTAAGTTCAATACTGAGAAAATATGCGACTGCTGATGTGTTATCGAAGACGACTTGATTGTCGATACCGGTACCTCGGTCACATGGATTGGCGCCAAACAAGCGTACGTGCAGACCAGCACCAGCATCGACGCTCTGGAGCCTATGGCGGTTACCTACGATTCCGGAGCTGCCTCCTGGTCTGGTATGACATACAAATATGACATAAGTAATCGAAGATACCCATGATTATCTACAGGATCTGAGTACATCGACACCTTCACTTTCGGTAGTGGGCTCACTATTCCCCAACAGTCGTTTGGTGTTGCTTCTGAGACGTCGGGCACCTTCGGCACAGCTGACGGTATCCTTGGCCTAGGGCCTGTAGGCTTGACAGCGGGTTCCCTAACAGATGAACCGACAACGACGATCCCGACTGTCACTGACAACTTGCATAGCCAAGGAACCATTCATCGTGAGGTTGTTAGTATCTCTTTCGAGCCCATCACTGGAGTGAGGGAGATCGTCAATGGAGAACTCACCTTCGGTGGAACTGTCCGTAACAAGCACGGTCCCATTACGTACACGTAAGCTACTTCAGTCCCTACATCAATGCAGCTTGATAGTAATCGTTTTGTTTCAGTCCTATCACTACCACCAGTCCTGCATCGGCGTATTGGGGTATCGACCAGAGCATTTCCTATGGCTCTACAACGATCTTGTTCTCCACTGCTGGTATCGTCGATGTTGACACCACCTTTATTCTCATCGCCACCGGTGCGTATATAGAGTGCAGCGAGCAATCATGGTCTAATCAATATTATCTAGATGCTTTCGACCAGTACCAGTCTTTAACCGGTGGTACTCTGGATCCGGCGACTGGTCTTCTCCTCATTTCCTCTGCCCAGTACGCAGCCCTCGAGAACCTGAGCTTCGCTGTTGGCGGCGTGCGCCATTTCTGTCGGCTCTCACATCCCTTGCTTACCATTTGCACAGGAAGCGTATAATCTCACCCCTAACGGCCAAATCTGGCCTCGTGTTCTCAACACGAACATTGGTGGCAGTAGCAACGCCATCTACCTCATCGTTCACGACATTGGTACCCCCAGTGGCCAAGGGTTTGACTTTGTTAACGGCTACGCGTTCGCCGAGCGGTTCTACTGCGTGTTCGATACCTCCCGGTCCCGCATCGGTTTTGCCCCAACCCCGTATACTGATGCCACCACCAACTAAAATGGAACTGCCAAAGTATACAAAGGATTGATTTTCAGACGCAAAACAGCATACGGATTTGAACGTTGTACCGACTCTTCTTAAGTAGACTATGGGTTTGCGTGTGGTTAGTAATAGTATCACACCTACTGACTTAGGATATCTCAAATGGTGAAATGCCAATTGTGTCATCCTTGTCAACCTGTCGTCACGGTTCTAGTCACATGGAGGGAGGACATGTCAGCCATACACTGGGAGCTGCCCACAATGACGTGGTGTTGGCAAGTGGTTGAGAGATAGGCAAACACAGGAAGTAGTAGACAAACAAGCAGCGAGAGACTCGCAGGGATTGGAAGAGATGGAGGTAAAGATCCTGATGGCAGGCTGGCGAGATCATGATTGAGGTTGGGCGGGATGTAGTGAGACTCTTCGGCAGTTTCTAAATCTGCGCAACCCACTGAGGAAAAATAAGACACGCGCACTTCTGCTTGAAAGAGTACTTAAATAAGACGTTTCATGTGCGACGATGATGTACAGAAGTATGTGGAGGGGTACCTACCTTCACAGATTGGCAAATTTACAGACAAGAACAACCGATTGACAAGTATTGACAGCAACCATCCTGCTCAGCCCGGCCATTCGGTCAACGCACGAGGATTAACAGAAATTCGGTTATAAAACCTTGCGGGAAGTCACCCAATCACCCACAGGTTCTTTAACGGTGACGCTGGAGAGCTTCTATCTTACCTTTGTCCATAGTGGAGGGAGAGCTTATCAACAGTTTCCCTCCTCAAAGACCAGCGGACCGTGTTATGTCGCTATATGACATCCTGTAAACAGACGTCTCGAGTTTCATGCAAGACTTAATTTTGGACCAGTGGTAACGTCAGAACGGAGCAGCGTAAGCCGAGATTCTCACCTACTGACATGCATTCGCAGCCATGAACTAAGAGCGAATGCGTGCTTGGCCAACTACCAAGGTATGCAATACAATTATTGCGCGACTTTTGACAAAGATGTCTTAGCCATGCTGAGTTTGACGTGCGAACCTCGAGGATCAAGTGACTTACCACTAGTTGAAACAAGACTTTTAGATCAAAACCAATGCGACCGTAGATATAGCCATGGCCCCTAAAACAGCATAACCAGTTCTATATGTCCTCAAGACTTCGAGAACTACCTTTTTATACATTCACTCATGTTCCAGCTCAAGTGTCGAAGACCATGCCAGAAGTGGAAAGTGAAAGGTGCAGCCAGGATAACCTTGCCAGTACACCTCAGGTAGTCTGGCGGCCCAGTAATAAACTCCACGATGTGAGCACTATCGGAAGTGTCTGGAGCGACGAGGTATGCCAACGAACAGCCATATAGGACGAGATGATATCACGATCGCACTATATTTCAGTCATTCATGAGGCATCGGGACATACGCGTGCTGGACAGTTGCGTGGTTTGCAATTGAGTTCAGCCATATCAGCTGGGGCTGGTAGATTGTGAAATGAGGGCTAGAAGGGCGTTGAAGATGCTGAGAATTCATAATTTCTTCCGAAGCCTTAATGGAGGCAGGGACTGTATCTGTACACCACTAATAAAGTACATTAAAAATGTCAGTTCAAGCCTCAAGATCACGAAAATTAGCCCTACCGCTTGAGAATCCAGGTACAAAAATCACTTTGATTTCTCCCAGTAATAAGTATCTTTCCACATTATGATGCGCACTTACCGATGACTGGAGGCTAGGCCCTTCGGCTGACCGCGGCGGTGCGAGCTGGAGCCTGGGAAAGTATTTGTGCGACAACTTCCTAAAACGTCTGGTCTCGGCTGAAGTCGGGTCTCGACCATCGTTCCGCTTCGTGCGATCAGAATGTCAAGGATTCTCCTTATACCCGCTCCCTTTTGAAATATTCATACTCCGCTTGGAGGTGCTCATCCCAAGAACTGGCCCAGATCAATGCAAAAAGACGCCCAACATCCATGGAAGTAAGCCCTTGGACCTTGGTGTTATAGACATTAAGGAAGCGTGAGAAACAGTGGCGGAAGTCAGTCCTTGGCGCTGTTGCAGACAGTGAGCAAGTGTGACGGATACAGAAACATTCATACTCCGCTTGGAGGTGCCGATGGGCTTGCCGATGTTCCAGACCTTTGTCCCATACTTTGTCCCAGACCGGCCATTTCCTAGAGACGCCCTCCGTGCGATGATAATACATGGCTGGAAAGTTTTTGGAATCACGAAAACGAGCGTATAACATATTTACCATATCAAGTCCTTTGGACCGCACTTAAATCCCCATTTTCACCTCGCACCAACGAAGCAACCAGTAGTCCCAGGGAATTTCCTCATGAATGTTTTCAATCCTCGCATTCTTGATGCCAGCATCCGCGATGTGACGGGGTGTCTGTCTGACGTTCAAAAGGCTGATGTCCTTCTCCACGCTTTGCAGCATTTGCCGTCCGAAGGGTACGTTCGTCCAATCACTTTGTTTATAAAATAAATTCTAGATCGTTGTGTATCACAAAGGTCCCGAATTGTCATGGAGAATGCTATTCAGTCCTTTCTCCAAGTCTCAGGTGTTCCACCGGCAGATGTCGCAAGAGCTCTTTTATTACGTGCCAAAACCCGTTTAGCAGCTGGGTACCGAACTTCTGCACAACAAGGTCAAATTCGTGCATGTCCTTAGGTCCCGTCAGTGTGCTGATACCACTATCCTTCAGATTTGTTGTCCGTGTTAGGTTCAGATCCCGCAAATCAAGACGTCAAAGCCATAATACAATCTGAGCATTTGCGACAAGAAATGGTAACTTGTGCAACCCTTTTATAACGTCCCTTTAGCAAATAATATTCAGCTTATCAGGGAACCTGACGGTCCACCTCGTTTTTCTGCCGAAGTTTGGAGAGAAATTGCTCTGTGTCTTCCCAAACGTGATCTCAAGTCTCTTTTATTGGTCCCACATGCACTCTCTCGCATCGCAAGTCAGCTTATCTTCCGCGAGATCGATCTTCATTTCACAGCATCGCCGGACCCCCCGAGAGCCGAGAACAGATACAGGGCTGTCAATGGCAACCAGGAAGAACAGGAACTCGACGCCTGGCACTACCAGCGAAGTGCAGATATTCTTACCCGCATTCTTGTCGATCCCGTCTTTGCCTCGCAGGTCAGAAGCTTAAGCGTATATGCTGGTGTTTCAGACGCGTCACATACATTGGCGTTTCAGACTGGTTTGTGCTCATTCTTCAGTGTTACTATGTCTTAATCCTCCCTAGGAATGTTAATTAACTCTTTGCCTAAGCTCTGCAACCTTCGCAGTGCGCATTGTTCAGGCAACAGTGGATTAATCAATCGCATGCTTGAAACATTGTGTGCCTCAAACCATCGTCTTTACAGCCTGTCCATCAAGTACGTCGTTCATACTTCCTTTCGCCCTCAAACGGCCTGCATGTTCACGCTCCGCACAGTCTTGTAGATCGTTCGGGGGACATTGATATCCCACCATTCAAGCACATTACACATTTCTCCATCACAGCTGAAGGAGGGAACAGCACATCTACCCATGACTTTATATCACAGAGTCATGACAACCTACGCTCGCTGTCCATCAAGAACGCAAACTGGAAATTTCCAACGGATGCCATTTCCGTTCGTCACTTGACGATCATCGAGTTTGAGGGCTGTTTTTCCGTAGACAGCCAGGTCTTCTCGGAGATCTTGTCCACCGGCCACCAACTGGAGTCACTAACATTGTCAGGTATTCTGGAATGCACTCCATCAGCAACGTTCCGCCTGCATAGGTCCTCGCTTCCGTTTCTGACGCATTTTGCTCTCAATATTATCAGTCTGCATCGGCATGTCACAGACAGGGACCTCGTGCCTGCTATCTCGGAATTCTTGAGAGATCGCAAGCATCTTCATTCCTTCCACCTCATCGTGCCTAGCGGAGACCATCGTCGCATTGGTTTTGACGCGTCTGCTTGGGGCGTACTACCTTCTCTAACGAACCTCCGCAGTCTCTATATCACTTATCCTAGAGATCTTTCCCCTTCACTGGCAGGGTGGCTTATTCCGCGGAGTGTTCGTGCGCTCACCATGGATATTATGGTACCGCCTGCAGAAGACCTTCTCCTTTTCATAAACGTGAGTCGATGACGCTCGTCATTGACAAGAAGAGTAGCACTGATGTGTTCTATTATAGCAATTGCGTCCCGGAGTCCCTCCCCTTCTCACGTTCATTGGCATGACAAACTTTCCGATACGTTCCGTCATCAACGTGATCGACCAGGGCTTTTCCAATGTGCGGCTTGTGCGTATCGACGACAATGTCTGGAGTGTTATCCGCCTAGATGATGGGTCGATAGAGATGATGGAGCAATGGCCATATCGAAGGATAAAGTACCACTCGGCAGCGTGGTTGGAGTGCCTCGAGTGCGAAGATGCAATAAGGCATCTGATATGGTAAACGCGAGGCGTGTCTCATAAAACAAAGACATCGAATGTACTTTTTCAATGGTTCTACCCTCTTAACATTCTGCTCATCGGATAACTTTCTGCAGGCGCAAAATATGAGGAATAGCACAAAATAAATCGCATTGAAAGGAGTGTCGCCGTGCTTCTCCACGCTGTGGACAAACTCTCACGAATGACTATTGGGCAATGGCAAGACAAGTTTGGAAAATCACGACTCATACTGGACAGATGACGAGGCTGGGTGGGCGCTATCAATGACGTCACACGTGCAAGCCGCATCAGTAAAGTGGCAGCCAACTATCGCAGTAGATTGCGTACTTGTCGTCCTATGCAAGGACAGGGGGTTCTCATCGAATCGCGCCAATTTAATGAGGCTGCCTTGCGACTTCGATGCGGCATTAAGCTTGTGGTATGCCGGTATATTACTGCCAATTCTGATTACGCGTCAAATGCAGGGTGTGCGGTGTGTACCTAACTTCGAGCGTCCCTATTCTATTCTATGGCTTCGGACCGATCTGGCAAAGGACCTCATATGGTGTCAATTCAACAGCTCGATCATGGATAGACCCAGGACAACCAGGGACAACTGCTCTCCTCAGCAACGCTTGCTACACCAACCTGACACTAAGAGGTGTGTCTCTATGGAAATGGACGTGGTGCAAGGCAATGAACCAATGGACCATGGGTAAACAGGCTAATTGTAAGTTCCTACCACCGTGACTCCGAATTGAAAACCAACCTCTTGTCAAAAAGTTGAATCATTGCACTCACGATACTCGGACTGCCACTATCTTGTCGTCGCTTTTTCGAGAGGAGACGTTTCATACGTGGCCATTGCAAGATGCCCAATATTTGCGTTCACCAGTGCATATATAATAGATCACTGAGTATGATATTGCTCTCGAGTCAGCCATGTTCTCTGCTGCATCCTTGTTGACAATTATCCTCATGGCTTTGTCCACTACGGGATCGCCCGTGGAAGTCAGCAATTCCCCCATAACCCTCCCGATTGCCAGGAGGCTAAGTGCCCTCAATGGTACCATTAACCTCTTGGAGCAGGATAGAGCTCGCGCGGCTGCCCTCAGGCTCAAGGGCAACACCTTGAAGCACGGCGGCCATGGCGTTCCTGTTGCTAACGTTGCTATTGGATACTACATAGCAGTTGGGATTGGCAGCCCCCCTACAACTTGTAAGTTCAATACTGAGAAAATATGCGACTGCTGACGTATTATCGAAGACGACTTGATTGTCGACACTGGTACCTCGAATACATGGATTGGCGCCAAAACACAGTACGTGGGGACCAGCACCAGCGTCTACACTGGTGCGCCTGTGACGGTCTTCTACGGTTCCGGATCTGCCTACTTCTCTGGTATGGCATACAAAGATATCATACGTTGTTGGAAATATTTATGATTATCTACAGGAATTGAGTACTTGGACACCGTCACTTTCGGCAGTGGGCTCACTATCCCTCAACAGTCGTTTGGTGTTGCTGCTACTACGTCGGGCACCTTCAACGGAGCTGACGGTATCCTTGGCCTCGGGCCTATAGACTTGACAGCGGGTACCCTGATAAATGAACCGGCAACGACGATCCCGACTGTCACTGACAACCTGCATAGCCAAGGCACCATTCATCGTGAGGTTTTTAGTATCTCTTTCGAGCCCATCACTGTAGCCAAGGAAGTGGTTAATGGAGAACTCACCTTCGGTGGAACTGTCCGTAACAAGCACGGTCCCATCACGTACACGTAAGCTACCTCAGTTCCTACATTAATCCAAGCTGATAGTAATCATTTTGTTTAAGTCCTATCACTACCACCCAGCCTTCATCGAGGTATTGGGGTATCGACCAGAGCATTTCCTATGGCTCCACAACGATCTTGTCCTCCACTGCTGGTATCGTCGATGTTGACACCACCTTTATTCTCATTGCCACCGGTGTGTGTCTAGAGTGCAGCGAGCAATCATGGTTTAATCAACATTATTTAGATGCTTTCAACCAGTACCAGTCTTTAACCGGTGGTACTCTGGATCCGGCGACTGGTCTTCTCCTCATTTCCTCTGCTCAGTACGGAGCACTCGAGAACCTGAACTTCAATATTGGCAGCGTACGTCATTTATGGCAGCCTTCACGTCTCTTGTTTACCATTTGCACAGGAGACATACACTCTTACCCCTAACGGCCAAATCTGGCCTCGTATTCTCAACACGTACATTGGTGGCAGCAGCAATGCCATCTATCTTGTCATTCACGACATTGGTACGCCTAGTGGCAAAGGGTTTGATTTTGTCAATGGGTACCCATTTGCCGAGCGGTTCTACTGCGTGTTCGATACCTCCCGCTCCCGCATCGGTTTTGCCCAAACCCTGTATACTGGTGCCACCACCAACTAAAATGGAACTGCCCAAGTACACGAAGGATCGTTTTCCAGACGCAAAACAGCATACGAACTTGAGGCTTGTACGAACTCTTCTTATGGAGTCTCATTCCTTCGGTCGGGCGTGCGTATGACTAGCAATAGTATCACATCTGCTGTTTAGGATGTCTAAAATGGTAAAATGCCAATCCCGTCATCCTTGTTAACTTGCCGTCACGGTTCTAGTCACCTGGAGGGCACCATAGAGTGAGAACTGCAGATAATGGTCAAATCACTGAATTTATGATCCACTGCAATGCGGACGCATGTGATAACACAGACTATATACCTAGCTCAATTGAGAAGGCTTTGAACATTGCACATAAGGTGGATTGCTCCTGCCTCAAGGGCTTGCGTCCCACCAAGTGCCAGCACTGGGAGCTAATTTCCATCCACAAGTGGCATTCTCTGTTCAATGGTGATGAAAACACGAACACGAGAATACTGGGGACGAGTGCCCCTGTGAATGGATTGGCACTATGACCCACCCTTTCCAAGCAGCTTCCCGACCCTCCACGAAGCGCTCATCGACGATGCACTTACAGCCCACGTGCGTGCATGGGTCCTCGTCGCTCGCTGCTCCGACTTACTCATGCTCAGCATCGCATGCATGGCGTTCGCAAAGCTCTGCCGAACATGTGCATGGAATCCCGTTGCTTCACCATCCAGAGGTACAACAATATCATGAAGTGGGCTGTCGGAAGCATGTCACAGGAATCACACCTGCAGCTTCAGCTCTGCGCATATGAATGAACTTTCGTCGGGAAAGTTGCATACGGTGAACCTGATCGAGGCCGCTTAAGCATAGAATATGAAAAGCCATACTTTCGCAGTAAATCGAAAGCTACCATGCGAACCAAATTGCAGGCCGAGTTGTTGCCACCGCGAGACTGTCAGATTCCTGCCGTTTGGAATAACGACATTGTTCCCTTCTAGGAAACCTAAGATTAGACGAACCTGGTAGCTGGTCAACAACTTGGTGGAGGTAGACTTGTCTGGATTTCTTACGTTTCGAACATCTTGGGGGTACTTTGAATAGCAAACCTTATTTCGTTCTTCCACCTTCACTAGACAAACTGTCAGTTGAAATGAAGGCAGACGGCTGGGCACTTACACATAAGGGCTTCGTAGGTTGCATCGGGAGAGTCGACCATGGGTGGAATACCGCCAGTGATGAAGACCTCCTTCAAGCTATCACTGTAGAATGAAAGGTAGGTGGCGGCACAAAAACCTCCGAAAATTTGCCCAAAGATCGTCCATTTAGGTGCTTCCGGATCTTTCTCGCCGTCGAGGAGAAAGTGCCGAATGGTCTCAGCCTCTGACTATGTTTAGGATAAACACTGACGACGCTTAGCGTTGTGAGGAAATCCTCACCGATGTTATCTGCACGAAAGTATTTGAGATACTTGACAATTGCCTCGTCGTTCATTTGCTTCGTTTGGAAGATGTCCGCCGTTATTCAGCGTGCTCAGACCAGTTCCACGAGGATCAAGCCAAAGGGTCTGCGATTATCAAATAGCAATCATATCAGACGAGCGAGGACTCGTGACATCGTTTCTTGTGAAGCTTGTTCATAGTCGTATATTTAGTCCCGCAAACCTTCCCGTGCATGAAGACAAATAAACGTACCGCACTCCCCAAGTCTACGCCGAAAGATAGGTGAAACCGAATCCTGGACCACCTGCATGACGCAGAAGTTGGCCTCTGTTTGAGTCATAACGAATTGCCTTGCAAATACAAGACTGGTTTTGGCGGGTGAACATCATGCATGCAATGCTTGAAAGAATCGGGGATGACACACGATAAAGCAAATCCGACTCTGCTGCGTCTGTGCCAGATACTTTGGCAGGAAGAAACCGATAAATTGGGGGTTTGATGTGGTGGAGATGCCAAGATTCTTGATGATGGCATGGCGAGCTTGTGGTGAACGTCTGGAAAGTTTATTGGTATAAGCAGTAAAAATGATGAAACCAAGGAGGCTTTTCAGAAGAAGGTACAGCAAAGCAATAGCGGAAGCCATGTGTATGGTAGCCTGCAGCAAAGGCTTTGAGGCTCCCCTCGCCAACGCGGCAAGAGCCAAATACGTGTCCCGGCAGAGGTCCGCGCTCTATTAAACACAGCCACTTCAACCACTACAGCCAAGATGTCTCGTTCTGGTCGCCGCGAACGAACCGCGGCATTCAAGGAGCCACCCACTGGCAGAAGCAGTGCGGGACCCCGTCAAACGGATAGCTATAGTATTATGTTAATACTATCCTGGAATGGTGCAAGAAGAACCAGGTATCTGATCCAAGCCAACGCCACCTCGTGTTTACCGTAAAATCCGCAGTCGGCCTAATAGTCAACCCGCACGAATGATAGGCTTCACCTTAGTTGGCTAGTGGTCACGGTGCGTTAGTTTCTTCTCTTTGTTTTACGTATGGTTTATTATCCTATGTAGATCTCACTTGGCTGCTGCGTGTCCTTACAACAAGGAGCCACACCATATGTAACATCGTCATCGTAAGGTCCTCTTCCTTCCGAGTCCCTGCGCAGAATTCACTGACAGCAGCCGTACTAGTTACACGGAAATACTCGGATGAGTGACTTTCGCCTATCGAGTAAGAGTCTACTGGATTTACATGAAACCGAAAGTTCAAGGCTCTTTGTTCCGTATTGAGGCTATGCTGGGTCGCCCACTTTCCACCAATCTCAACCCGGCGCCGAAATGGACATGTGGGCGCTTTTCCATATACTTATATAGACAGCCATCCCTAGATTCTACCACTCCTTCAAGTTGTCTTCAATTCCACCTCCCAGAGTGTCCCTCCCGTGCATCTACTAGTAGTACATATTGTCTGACATGGCTCCTTTCGATTCTCAGCCTATCAAGTCACTCCCAGCACCCAGGGATGGGAATATTGTCGTCCGTAGTTACCAGACCGGATCCATGAATCGGCATACCATCATTGATGTCGTTATCATAACCGGTTAGTTTGCGTTCCTCCAATCCCTTGGCGATGAATAGGGTCAATCAGCTACCTGTTCTCTCTCGTCTGTTTCCTTCCATCATTGTCAAAGCCTACGCGCTTTTCGTCGCAGTTTCCTTTGACCGTGACTCTCGTACCTCCCGATACTGACAACACGTCTCAACAGTGATATTCATTGCACTCCTTCTATCACTCTCTGCCTTGGCATGCTTCCGCCCTACATCGTTGAACCCGTTTCGCGCAGTCCCAGTTCGCGGCACTTCTGTGCCCATCATTAACACAGCCACGCCTATGCGTTCGACTGCAACCACTGGACGCAGCATTCACTACTCCAGGCATATATTGATGATGTCATTCATACTACACAACTGGTGGGCACGTACATTTCACGATGGCATTCCCCGGTCTGTAAATACTGCGCACCACGAACCAACTCTATTTCGTGCTGCCCCACTATCTGCACATCCCTCATCGGCAATCATAGGCCCAGAGTTTTATCCTCGCTCACCGAGCTTCACCACTTTTGCACCCACTTCTCTATCGGGGACACCCAGCATCGTCAACACTTTCGTTGACAGTGGAGACGTGGAGCTTCATGAGCTTGATGGTAGTAAATCCCTGAGCACACCCTCATTAGCAGCAGCCGACGACGCAGACATCGCTGATAACCGAGTTGTTATGCTGTCTGATACAGAGTTCATCGTCTCCGTAGACGCGAAGCCTGAGGCACCTGACCCATCTTGAATGGTCTACCGCTGATTGCTACACGGTAGAAGTCAATATTGCAGAAGTTGACGAGGTAGTGATGGGGTGTCAGGTTTCACGACGACCTGAACCAAGCACACCCGGATTTTGGGGTTCCACATGCAAGGCAGTGGAAAGGGGGATAGCAGGCAGGGGCAGTGCATGAGGACCTGTGCATCATTCTGGAATTTTGAATCCACAGTCATATATATAATATAGCACGTCATTGTTTTCCGAGTGGAATAAGACATCGCCCTAGTAGCTGTGCTACTTTACAACACTGCCTCGGTGTGCACACTAAGTGAACAGAAGTTTCTTTGAACACGCACAGCACACTATACAGCACAAACACAGGATGGCGTTTTACGATTCCTGACGTCAATTGCTCACGAGAGCCTGAGATATCGCCAGTGGTGCGGCCGAAGTTCCCCGGTTTCTCTCGAGTGTGACAAATGTACGGGGATTCAGGATATTGAACGTATGAATTGGGGTGACTCAGGCTGATATCTGAATGGTTACTGACTAGGGCTTGCAAGGAGTCGCCAAGGTCCAAGAGCTGGCAGTGGTAGCATTAACAAAGCACAAACGTTCGCGCCGTCAATATTGCAAGAAAACTCGAGAACTCGAGCTTGTAAATGGCGAAACGTCATCAGAAGATGAGTATTCAATTGGTTGGAGAAGGTACTTTCCCCGACTACGATTCGGAAGTAGGGAGGGTTGGTTCTTTGTCAGATCAGTGTCCAGGCACTGCAGCACCCGCGTGAAACAAATTTCCATTTCCGATTGTATCTTCTTTCGCTTCACCTGCCTCTGCTGTGCTTATGGCCCGTACATTTGGCTTGCAAAAGATACAACTTCCTATTCGTCTGCTCCTTGTTCCCCAAGTTATCCGTCCTATCTCTCGTATTATCATTGTGCGTTTTATTTTGGCATTAGCATAAGCTGACTCGACGTTTGCCTGCGACACAGACCTTGGTCTCTCTTCTCTCGTTCACTGTGGTCCTCTTCCCTGTTCCACGTACGTGCCTCGTCGTGCTTGTCACTTTTATTCTCGCTGAATCGTTGTCTCAGGATGTCACTTAGCTTGCATGATTGCCAACCTCATGATGTTGAACACGAGACACCCACATACCCATTGATTTATGACCCGTTGTATTACCCTGATGAAGTATCCGTGTTGTCTGCCGTTGCATGTGATCCACCATGGCTCTCTGTGCTACAAAAGCAACCTGAACTGTTTGACAGCTCCCGTCCCGTGTGATGCTGCCCAACGCATTGGATGTAAGCGTTCTGAGGCACGACTGAAAGCAAACAGTGTCCTTGAAATTTTAAAACCCTGCGGACAGAGCTTGTCAGTTCGTCTGATGATGTGCTTACACAGCGTTTCTCGGTGCTCTTACCCAGGACTTCCCTCCAAACTCGCACGATGTTGATAGCAGCTGCTGTTCACCTTTCTATGGTTCCGATGTTGCAGCTGCACTCTGCCGCTCTCCAGTGATAGTAGCCTCTTCTCCTACTTCGATTCCTCCTCCCTCGGGCATATCTGACCTTCAACAGCATTGGCTTTTCTCTTCCCTGGATGAGCTCACCCGTCGTCTGGAGCGCCTTCTGTTCAATCATGCATTCTTTCTTCGTTCTGTCTCAATCTCAGACCAATCACTTCCAGGCTTGCGTTCACACCGTCGGTCATGTAATGTGCTCGCCAAATTCGTACGCCTATGGGCTAGACTCGAATGCGAAGGTATTGTGCAAGACATATCTAGCATATTATTCCTTCCCCAAGTCATCCACGATGACACGTGATGCTATGTTTACAGTCGGGGACTGGCCACTCGCTGCCGGAATTGGCAAAATGGCCGAGCGTTTTTGGCTTTTTTTGGCAACTATGTTTCTGGATTCGATATGGCGATGACGCAAGTTGGTTCGGCGGGATCTTATATAACGACGAGGTGTAAGCTCGCTGCTTACCTGAGTTCCCATAATCAGCGCTCAACATCCGCGATAATCAAAGCGTGCTTTGATTATCACTGCCTTTTGGTGTAACTGTTGAGGGACGACAGTCTTAACTACTTACACGAGCCTCGTTTTCTCTCTTGCGATTTTCCTGTCCAATAATCGATAAGCTCGCCCTCATGGCAGGACAATCAGGCTCACAGGATCCTTCTGTGGCACCCCTACCGCTCACACAGACACAACATGATGAACTTGATCGAACTTTACCTGACACTAGCTCGCCCACGCCCAAGTTGCCTCAAGGTCAGTAGAGGGTTTTATCCATAGTTTTTATCTCACGTTAATGGTATCTTAGACACAGATGAAATTCTTTACGATTCATTTAGCAGTCCTTACATTGGGCGAGCGGCGGACAGCTTTTACGAGTACCTGACAAACAACAACATCGACTTCAGGACATCCTCGAAGTCTTACTACGGCAAGTTCTGTTCGATCGTTCAGAGTTCTGGAACAGGAAAATCACGACTCATTCTCGAGGTCAGTATTATAAAGTGCATACATGTATCAGGTGGCTCACATTATCGAGTTAGCTCCGGAAAAAAGGCGTCCTTGTTTTGTATATGAACCTTCGCGAACTAAGTGACAGAGGCTTCCCTAACCGAGACCCGGTGCCTGCACGCATATTGACAGAATGTACAACGGACTGTACCGAAGCCGAGTATACCGCTCGTTGTTACGCCTTTTTTACGGCCATATTCCAGGTGCTCTTGTGGGATCTGGGCAGCAAGATACCTGCACTGGATTCTCGCAATCTTGATGCTGAAATCAAAGCATGGAATGACGATATGTGTGACATGCGCTCAGAGGCTCGTACCAAGTTCTTTGAGATGGTGGATTCTCAATATAACCTGGTGAGCACGGCCAATCATGATTGCTTGACAGACGCCGGCAGAACGATGCTGAATCGGAGAACGTTGTCACACAACAGGTTCTAAAATCACCACGCCAATCCTTCGTTAAGCAAGCTTTCCGAGACATGGTGCAAGCTATGCCACACATATTTGCTGCGAGGGAGAAAAGGAATGAGGACGCGCCAAAACTTGTCATTGCATTTGACGAGGCATACCCTCTCAACAAGTTGAACAGTCATGACATCCGTCTATCGCGTATTCTCTGCAGTGTGATTAGCTCCTACTCCCGTGATAACACACCAATGTGGGTCGTTTTTGCGTCTACGACCTCACAGGTGGCCGATTTTCCACCTCCTCAAATGATTCGTGAGTACCTGCTTCATGTCCCTGGCAGTTTCTAGTATTCACACAATATTGCAGAAAATTCCATGCGGGTAGTGCAATCTGGAAATTCTTCATATCCACCTTATCACGCACTTGGTTGGGATCAGTTCGCGACCCCTCTGGGTGATATATCAGCTAATGATGTCGCAAAGTTTTACCATATTGTTGGATTTGGCCGTCCACTGTTTGTCTTTTGGTTTTATGCTCGTGTTCAGTTTTGTTGACCACCGTGAATAGGTGGAAATCACTCATGCCAAACGGTGGGGTTCTGAAGTTGGCTGGTCAGAAGCTATGCGACTCTATAGCATTCGATTCTATGGCTACCAATCAGGCTCTCGCAGTACTAGCTCAGAGATTTGCTCTCGACATCCGCTTTGGTCATCGCGATACTGTTTCTTACATCAAAACAGCAGTGGCTAGTCACTTGCGTGTATGCTTCTCAACGACCGAAAATGGGCTCTGGAGTGATACCTTTCATCCATCCGAGCCCTTTCTGTCTTGTGTCGCAGCAATGTTACTCCATCAATCACCTGACAATTTGCCTAATGTTTTACATGTCTTGGAGAATAGGATTCATAGTGGGATGGTCGAAATCGGACAGAGAGGAGAGTTGACCAGCAGACTTTTGCTGCTTCTTGCTAAGGATCTCTTTATCCGTCGAAACCCCCCCGAAACCGCGATTCAGCATCTACTCTATAACGGAAGTGAGCATGCCGAACTACTAGACTGCCAGAAGGTCTCTGTCGTCGGATTCTTGGAATATCTTTTTGGCACGGCATTCTGGTCGGACTCGGAGGCGGGAGAGGAGGCCAAGACAGCTTTACAGCATGCCTACATCAATTTTACTCATTGGATAACTATGGAAGAGTTTATCTCGCCTGCGGATGGTGATTTCGAGGAGTTGGGAAGGTAAGCTTCTAAACGCTGTTCGAGCGAGATCATTTCTAAGATATCGCTGTAAAGTGCTAGATGTGATCCTGATGAGTGGACTCTGCGACATTGGCATCGCACAAGCGCGGTGCAATGCTGCCCTCTGCAGCCGCTGGTCGACAAGATGATCCCTATCTATTTTGACGATCCCAGCCTTGGCTCCGATTTGAAACGCATGTCCCAAATTTTCATTTCAGACAAAGTGGGGAGGATTAGCAATATCGGAGATCCAGGGCACGATACTACGCGCGCGCATTACTCGATCGAGTGCCAATCAGATCTCCCCTACATCACTCTCCTTCTCGACCTCAATGTGGACTCGGACCCGCAACTTAGCGCCACGTATCTGAAGAGGGACCCAAGCCATCCCGAAACAGGCCAATGTCTGCGGATCTACGCTTCTGGAATGAGCGACACCACGTTTTCATTCTTAAATCAACATCCTCCCGTTGCGAAAGGGCTACAAGAAATTCTCTCTCGACAGAAAGAAGTACCGTCGCAGACGATCCACCAAGCCCTCAGGAGTACAATGCGCGACATGAGGTGGGAGGCATAAGAAGGGTTGTACTTGGGCCATTGAGCGTATGTTTTAGCCAGTTAGATGTGCGTGCCTTGACGAGAACTTCCGGGGGGCTCTGAAGATTATCCATGGATTTAACGTTGTACACGAGGCATTGGGAAAACAATTCGTGGTAAGGGATATCGATGTAGCTAGTAGCTACGCATTATTTGGTGATTACATGAGGTTTGCCGAAAATAATAGCTTACCTCAAATTCTTGTAGATTCTGTACTACACGGCCTGCAAGTTGCTGTAGTAACCCCGACTTATCTGAAAATTTAGCATTCTCTGGAATCCAGGTTCAGTTCTTCTGTTCAAGTCCCTTTCCTGCCCAATACCTTCAAGCCAGCCGACCTCTTCATATACTAGCAGGTCACTCATCACCGTGAAATTTTCGTGAACGTGTCCACTCTAACTTCTAGCTTAGAGGCCTATTATCGAGAAGGAACGACTGTCTTCCTTCGCTGGCTAAGGGAGACCTAGAGGGTCTGAACGGAAGTTTACCACTGAGGAGTCGGCGATTTGTTGCAACGGCAGTGAACCTCTTGGTAAGTCTTGGAAAGTATTAACCATGACTATGCTTACCTTGGTACTTATCCAACAGTCGAGATGGTTAGCTCTTATATTGGTCGGCTCTCGGACGACATCCTCCTTATGATATTCAAGCTGGTGCGCGAGGAAGACCAAGCTGCCTCGGATGATTATCTCCAGAAAGAAAATACCATTATAGGCAGACGTTGGGACGATTGGGGAGATGGATTAGATGAATTAGTTGAATTAGATGGTGATTATGAGCAGTGGCGATTGGAGCTAGCAGATCGACTTTTTGCCGGCAATATCACTGATGACCCTCCACCTCGATCAGCACTCTTGCAAGCTACGCGTGTGTGCGAGCATTGGCACTCACTCGTATCCCAGACTCCATCGATGTGGACTGTACTGGAAATCTCCTTCCGTGAAGGTGATGCAGCTCTTGAGCACGCGCGGACATTTCTCCAGCGTAGCGGATCGTGTCTCATACAAATCACAATTCTTTGGGACGACCCCGCTTGGATTGCACCAGTATATGAAAATCTGGTCGAGAGGAGTGGAGGAGCATTACCACCCCAATCGCGTGAAGAAATTATGGCCGGTGTCCATCTTAGCTCTGTCATTCAGGAGCTACATGCCCATGTGCATCATTGGCATGAGTTTACGCTCAGGACGACCTCCATTGCCCACACATATCAAGCACTTTCATTGATGTCACGCCCTTCCGTCCATCCAGCCTGTGGACTAGAAAAATTGCATCCTCAATCTATACACAACTCACGTCATGCAACTCATTTTATTGGTGAACCATCGCTTTTCCCGGGTTCAGCGCCTCCCATCCGCGATCTTCTTCTTTTCGGCATAACCTGGGCCTGGCCATCATCGTCCATGCTATCGTCCAATCTCACAAACCTCCGGATTCGTTATGATATCCACATGAATGACTACAACACAAATTCACGCACGGGGCCTGAAGCAGAAATGTTGTCGCAGTTCCTTGGCGCACTCATCAACCTCCGGACCCTGGCGCTTGAGGTGAACCTTCGATCTTTTAATACACACACCATCAAGTTGCCTCGTTTGCATAGTCTGGCTATCAAGTCGCGCACAATCGACTGTTGGGGCACGGGATTTCTCCACAATGTTCAAATGCCTGATCTTCGGATCTTGACCTTGTGTGTAACCGCAGAGGATCCTGACGACAGTATTGAATATTTCCTTGATGACTTGGTCAATCTTACCGATTCTGAGGATCCTCTGGAGCTGGATGAACTCCACCTCTTCGATTTTGCACAGCATGTAGATGCTGAGTTCCTTCATCGCCTGTACACCCAGATGTCCAAGGTCAAAACATTGACATTAGGACCAGGGGAGGACTACGACAATATCGTACTGGCAACGGCGCTGCTCCCCACGCCCTCCTCCCTACTGGATACACCTTGTCCGAAGAACTGCTGGGTTGACAAACCTGTCGAGTTTATTGTTTTTGACAATGCACGTGCTGGTCTCCCGGCGAGCATTCTGTTATAAGCGGCACGCCTACTATCCGTATGTGTGATGAGGTGCTCGACTGGCTAGCTGATTCTGCTTTTGACCTCGGGGCGCCCTCTGTTATTCCACCGCTGGAGCCCGAACTATTAAATTTCATGGTAGACGACACGCTTATTTGAATCTGTCTGAAGCACTATGAGTATAGTATCCAAGTCCGATGTAGTACTTCGGCTTCGACCTAACAAGCGTCACTGTTCCAGCTGACGTGTTTGTCAAAAGTCGACCGGAGCCTTTTATAGCAACAACATACTTGACGTGTTGAACTGAACAGGACAGATTGAAATTTAACGGAGAGCCATCTGGCGCTACAATGATCTCGAGGCCCATCTTACTAAGGAACACCCCGACTCGGAATATACCAATCCAGGCAAGCCTGAGGGTGTCGCACTTCCTCGTGTCGTGTTTGATTCTATGGTCCTCACCGCAGCCGAGGAGAAACGCGCAGGTGTTCCAATTCGACCCGCCTTCACGCACTCAAAAGTGCAAGTGGCTACATACTCGCCAGGCGCCGTCACTCATTGGAAATAAAACTGGTAACAATCAATCAATTACTTCGCGTTATCCAGAGGGTCATTTTGTCTGTGTACTTGGAAAGGCAGAAAGCAAAGAGGTGGATCAAGAGAGCCTCTTGTTGAAATTTGAGGTGCCATATAGGCCCTTCGGAAAGGCGATTCTTGATTGTCTACCGGCAGAAGACGAGAAATGGGTTGTCCCGCCTAAGAGTGCAACGAGTCCGGAGTGGAGAAATTGCGCGCATCATGGAGGAACCTCACATGGGACGCTTACAAAGGCCGTGTTTCACACGTCAAGTTTCAATACTGTGTTCGCGGCTAAGGGCGGAGGAGAATGAGGGCCGCAGTTGAGAGTTCAAAGATCCTGACGGGCTTCTCTCGCGTCATGGATCTCTGTTATACTTGAGACCTTCCCAGCGCCGACCATGTCTTCAAATACAAGCATAAAACATCAGACGTCAGCAGTCATTGCACAGGCACAAGGTGTTATGCACCTGCCTTGGGAGGACGGACCATCACATGCTCGAGGGACGGCTCACTACGAAAGTGAAATTGTGGGATGTCAAGACAGGAAAGGTCGTCACAAAATGGACAGGGTACAGACGTGACAGTATATTGTAAGTGTACCGGAGTGTGGATGGTAATCGAATGCTGAGCAGCGAATCCTCGGACGGCAGGACAGTGAGAATCTGGGATGTCAAGAACGGAGAAACAGTCCTGATAGTCACAACCGGGCATGTGTCTGTGTACACCGTAATCTACTCACTCGACAACACACACATTGCGACGTCAAGGACGGAGTAAAACCTGGGATGCGAAGATGGGCGAACCAGTGATCACCACACTCAAACATGATTGGACAGTTTGGAGCAAGTTGGCCTGGTCGGACGCAAAGAAACCGGCATCCGATTGGGATGTTCGACACAGCCACTTGGCAGCATATGTCGGCTTTAGCCAGTATGTTCGTTCCGTGCTGAAGTTGTTGCTCTCAGATTTTGCTCCGTAGTGTTTATCAGTGGTATATTGCTTCCTACGCATTATCCTTGTGCATTTAAGTGCTGAGTGAAATAGAGAGGTCCATGTACGTGTAACTAGAATACAAAAATACACTACCCACATACAGTTTATCCTGTAAACATGATGCCCCCTACAGAAACGAAAATAACTTAATAATAATATGATATTGGTATTTAAGGGAGTGGTGATGGTGGGAAAAGAAGAGCCTGAGTGGTGATACTAGCTGCTTCTTCATAGGCGAAGCGACCCCCACCCCCCAACTGGGTAGGTGTTAAAGAGTCAAAGGTCGGACACAACTCATACCATTCCTCTGTAAAGCAGTTCAGCCATGGAAATGCTGTCTCCTGAAATATGACCTACGTGGTACGGGATTCACATGTGCAGGCGGTATCTGAGGGGCTTTCCGCCATTACCACTGCAAAACCGCTGGATGCGAGAAATCAGTAATTTCTTCTACGAGGACGTTCACAGACATACGCATCAAGGTGCCAGTCAATGTGACTTTTGGTTCAGAGTCAGTACTGTTCATGATAGCTCAAAAAATAATGATAACATACCAATGCAAGAACCACGGGCCAGAATTGTCGGTCGTCCATCGTATCACCATCTGTTGCCCCGCAGTACCAGCGCTTACCACATCACGGACGAACTGGGTTCACATAATTGAAGGTACTACTTTGTGCGCTCTGTACGACATCGAATGAGTGCTGATGACCATCATCAGTACCAATCAAATATGTCATCGAAGTCAAGGTGAACTTACCCCATGAAGATGTATGGGATGCTGGTACAATATAAATCAGACACATAAGTATCAAAGGAAAGGAAAAGACGCACGGGTCCACCTGGACCAGATACTATTTTCATTGTCAACTCCACCACTTGGTTGGCTTTTAGAGGGATCACACTCCCGTTTGGAAGTAGATTATATGGATTTACTCCACTGAGAATTTGTTGTAGAACAGGAACGGTGGGCGGTTCGAATGTGACATTATTGACAGAGAAGAATCCGCCAACAGAGGTAATCTGAAGGTCGAGGTTGATATCTGCGTTCCCGTACCCTGGAATGCCAGGAGCACCGGGATTGATTAGAGCATGTAAGTTGGTCTCTACCAATGGGTCCTGGATTGGCGTTTGGACCGTGGTCGGGTCGACCTGCGGGGCGCCTTGGTAGCGCAATATAGCAGAGTTCGTTCCCCCTTCGAAGGATGCACCCGCCAAACTAGGAAGACTGCGTATCCAATAGTTATCCACAGGCTGATTGGCTACCAGAACCACAGAGTAGCGCTGACCCGCAAGAATCTGGAGCTGATCTACAGGTAGTGGTTCGGTCAGCTGTCCATCTGCTTCGATGATGGTGAAGTTGTGGCCATCGATGGTGAAATTGAAATTGGGGTCGCAGGACATTGCAACCAGTCGCAGGCGGTATCGCTTTCCCTGTTCGACGTTGATCACAGCCAGATCAGACGCGGGTCCGCCTGCATAACGACCCAGTCCGTTGATAAGCGAAGAGTTGGCGTCGGTACCTATAATGTGGCGCAAGACAGGGGCTACAACGTGATACCTAGTGACACTGCTTTAGTCGGGTACGTTACCAATGTACCTTAAACTCACCAGTCGGAAAGTGTGATTACGGTACTTGCTGGTAACACATGATGGTCAGAGGGTTCATAACATGCACGGATTATTCACTCACCATTGTCGACATCATACATGTATGCCAAAGGGTCATCAGGGTCATAGATAACCAGGGCTCCCCTCAAACCATCGCACTGTCCCACAGGTTAGTCCTCCACTACACGAGCAAAATGCGAGAGCTACTTACATATTGGACGGAGTAATGACTGTGATACCAGTAAGTACCTGCTTGGTTCGGGGCGGAGAAGTTGTGAGTAAAAGATTGGTTCTGTGCAATCGGACATTGTGTGACGAAGGATGTCCCGTCGGCGTAGTTCGTCCCATTTTGGAAGATACCGTGCCAGTGCTGCGGCAAACAAAGTGAGTTAATGAAAGCGTGGGTGATTGGCACTGCTTACGACACTGGTGCTCTTGAACATCGTCTCGTCTGTGAGCTCGTTGACTACCTGAATGGAGAAGTTATCTCCCTATTGTGAGGTTAGCACTGGTGCACGACAAGGACGACAGAAGCTCACCTTCTGGGCTGCAATCAAGGGTCCAGGGAATATGCCATTGACGAGAGTCGCTCTATTAAATATCAGGAGTGAGCCCGAGGAGTGTCGTGGCAATAGACTCACGAGCGTTCGAAGCCATCGGGAGCGATAACATTATTACCTATGGTTATTGTGGTCTGGGGGCCTAGTACAGCGGGCTGAGAGGAGGACTGTGAACGAGGGTAGGACTGTGAACGAGATACTATAGATGCAGCATTAATCAATGAAAAGAAAGAAGCAATTAGGATAGGAGTAAGCATCGTGATTATTCACGATAGGTCGTAGTGCTTGCACTCGAGAGAGTAGTGGGATGTAGAATAAGATGATGATGCAAGAAACATACCCTTCTCAGCTTTTATCTTGCAGAGGCAGCCTGAGGTATCCAGATTCAAAGCAGCTGTACCTCGACTAATGACGACCGGCGTGCGATCCCTCCATAAACAGTTGCTCAGCAATTCCCAGCAATCAGTGCATTTGAATTTCAATACTGTACTGCTCTTGGAGTTAGCATCCACCTGCCGATACATTGAAGAATGGTGGCGTACCACAATTGCGTCACGAAACCATGACTCAGAGAACATAAAATAAGTCAAACGGCCAGGACAGCCAGACGGCCACAAATGTCCCATAGTAGTGGCAGTGTCAGGTTGCTACATCAGTTCAAGACAACTCCTCGAGCATAGTAAAAAAAGAATGCAGATCGCTAGTACTAGTCAAGCATGCCGCGCGGGAAAATCTGACTAGATTGTCTGAAAGGAATGATCGCACGCTATATCATGAGGGAGTTGAGCACTAACCTGTTCGCAACTTGGAACTGAACAAAGCAGATTATGGATGACATCTGTGTTAGGCAGCGTGGATAATTATAATGGTTACTCCGGAAGGACAAGTATCAGCGCGGAGGTTTTGTGCTTGTCTACGTGACACTGTCGCAGTCCGCAGAAGGAAACATCTGAGGATCAGGCAGTGATCAGACTGGATCCTGGAAAAGAGTACGCATGTGCCTTCATTCTCATTCAGCAACGATCAAGAGTTTCGTGCACGACGGACCAGCTCGGAGAACATCGATGCTAAAGTTAGACTTAGATGTATTAAAATAGGATGAGGGCCTGGTTGCCGCAGGATGTACTAGAGACTAGAGTGCACTGGTGATGGCCCTATGAACCTTGGCAATGACCGACTGTGCACTAGACGCTCAACTGTCTCGGCAGAAAAAATTGAAGAGAGGCGGCCAGCGGCGACAACTGCTTTGATGATGGTTGCATTATTGAATGGTGCAAGTCAGGCTGAAGTCACCATAATGGATTGGCACCACTGGTTATGCATATAATGAAATGGACTCCGTCCCAACTCCATCCACGGAACTGGCCGATTCCCACGTTAGTGGAGGTATTATCCCTTACGTGATCCACCGTGACTAAGTATATCGTGATTTTCAATGACAAACTACAGACATCATGTTCTTATGATGTGCACATCAGTTGTCGTCAACTTCGAGCAGGCAGCGACGTTACACTTGCCCCCACAATTGCAACCGTTGCTTCCCTACACCGCTACTATACTAAACCACCGAAAACCTATGGTACAGCCCAATAATGGTAGAGGTGTAAAATAGCCATGATGTATTTTTATACTATAATTAAAGTGATTGCCGCTGCGCGGCTGGAAACCACCCGTGCGCATGAAGTTCAAGGGGGGCGTAAACACCGAGGTCGGATCAGACAAGATAACGTGTAAAAGTATATGTCGCCTGGTATAGTAAGTATAAGCGTCGAAGCAAATATAGATAACTTGAAGGTGCGGTGTCCAATCCAGTCAGCCAAGCTTACAGTTATGGCGGCCCGCCACAGGATTCGATTGCACAGGTTTGCTTCTTACACAGATATATCGATTATTCATCCATCTTATCATGCGAAAACAGTATCTGCGTGCATGGTACGTCGTCAATGTTAATAAGTTATATGATCAAAACAACGAATAGTTCGAGTAGGTTTAAGTGTGGGGCGTTGGCTGCATGCAGCGGAAACTCGCGCGCAGGTGCTGAACGTAAAAACTCGAGCTGTATTGAGCAAATGATGATTGCAACAGAGATCCAGTCGAGTAGTGAGGTGTTGCCTATTCTATAGCGAATTGGTTAGAAGCGAAGCCCAAGCCAGAAGTGTCCAGCGGAACGTCGCGAGGCAGACCACGTCCTTAGAACTGAGGAAGGGCCTCTTAGCTAGGGCAAGAGGGATGCTAGGTGGCGGGGATGGTAGTTTCGAACCTGCAAAGTTCTCATCAATAGGCTACCGCAGGCTACCCCAACTGCGCTGACCATCTCATGCTGTTTAGGAATGATACTACCGAGCCTATACACCCAGTGGAAGAAAAATTTCCGAGGCACAATTCCAACCGCATTCGGTGACCGGCTAGCTGCTCACGGCGATTATGACCCACCGGGAGGGTAATCTACGGCTGGAGGAGGGCTAGTGGGGAATAGCAAGTTTCAGATCCTGGATCTGGTGGCCTTTAGCACATCCGGACCCTGGGCCCACTCATCCTCTATCGATCGTTTCCGTACCGACTGGGAATGCATCTCCATGAGACAATACTGGATGAAAGCCATCAGCAGAAATGGAAACCGGAAGGCACCAAACGACACGAACATTTACGTTCGAACTCGAAGTTTGGCAGATGGAGACACGACGCGTTACATCGAGTGTCAAAGATACACAGCGGTCCTGTAGTTGATGCTGCAGATTTTGACACTAGTGGCATTGGTTGTCAAGCCTTAAAATACTAATTTACCTAGGAAACAATTGAGGTTGCTCAATTAAAGAAACCAATGCAACGTTCTGGGAACTTGTGATGGACAACATAAGTTCACGTAACATTGTATATGAAGAGTCAACCGGCTTGGAGGTATCACTATTAGGTAGGAAAGGACCAGCAGTAAGCATCACTGTAGCGCCAGAAGAGTGCTAAATTCCCACGATGACTATGGCGCGGATTTACCGCAGCATCATGCATGATGGATGGAACAGAAATGTTCCGAATGGATTTAAATATAGTGATCGGCCTCCAGCAGGCGCAGTTGAGCGCTGAGCCAGTGGGCTTCAAATTTGTGCCCTGGCACATGAGCCGCACGCAGCTAGTCGCCGCTCCAAGGTCATCAGATCTTGTAGAACTCCGACCTATTTTGTCGTGTCACACGAACTGAGCCCTTCATAACTAGTCTCTTGTGGTGAAATGTCCGTTGTGCACGGAGCTGTAGGACACCTGGTTAAGTTAGAGCCGAATGAACGAGATCTCAACTGCTCAGGATATCTTGCAGCATTTCAATAGTACAGGGCCCATCAAGCTTTAAAGGAGTAGGTTGGGTGCTGGATATATATTCCGGACAAGTTCAGCTTGCCACTTGGGGCAAGTGTGGATGGGCCGAGGATGGGCAGCTATTTAGTTCTAGTAGTGAGACAACACCTCTCAAGTCAGATACACACACCTACACCGCAGCCTCCCATACAGTGTTGAGGGTTCAAACCCGACATCTCGCTCATGGAAACGAGTGCAGAGATAGTCCCAGAGAGAATGAACACCCCTGGAATTGATCTCATGAGCCTGATTCTTTGATAAACAAGCAGAGCTTACCCCCTACATACAAAATACTTGAATACCATCGTGTCGATCACTAGCAATGCGTAAGCCAAATGCTCAAGGAATTGAAAAGCTTCCCATAATTTCCAGTATAACGACTAGGACAGACTACGAAACATTGGTTTTGGACATACTTCGTAACCAAGACTGTATTCAAAATCACGAGTTCGACAGTCACGTGGCACGGGCTTTGTACGGGCTGTGAAGCATGGATGCGTCATCAGCGCTAGCGCTCAGCCGCAGTGATTGCATGACGATATCTATGGTATGTGCAATTGAAGTCCTTCCCTTAATACATAACCTCGATTCTCGGAGGACCATCAGAAAATCGTCATATCAAAGTGAGAGTTCGAGTGCAGCAAATTCTGAACATTCGGATCCTCCTTCAACATCGGTGTCAACCCACGCATCAGGATCAGTGGTATCTTCCGATATCAAGTCTTTTGGCTGACGTGAGAGGTCAAGCGGGAAGAGGGGTCGTCGCGGGCTTGACAGGCGTCGCGAATGGGTCTTCATAGAAGAAGGACCACGGAACACGTCTTCCAGATCATTTTCTCGTTCGGCAGGCTTCGAGTTCTGGCTCTCTCTTCGACTGAGCGAGCCTTTGACTTCGTGCAGGTGAGCTGTCCGTGCCAAGCGTTTAGTAGATTTGGGAATGATAAGTCCTGTTGATGAATGCGAGTTTGTTCGCACCATATGGGCGGCGCGGGGGAGTGTGGATATCTCCGTGGAAATAGAATTAGGTATGCGGCGGGTGGGGGTGCGGAGTGTAGAATTGGCAACTGGAGGGCCGGACCGTTTTGTGGCGGTGGAGCCGCGCGGGGTGGATCGTTTATCTGCGAAGGTAGTAAAATGCGGAGGTCGACGTAGAATAGAATCATGATCGGAGGATCGTTGCGTTCGATGAGACGGAAAGTCTACAGGAGAGTCTGGGCCCGAAGGACGACCCTTTTTAGGTTCAGATCTCTTGCCGACAGGAATCTCAGGACTGCGATTTCGGAACAGCATATTATTCGAACCACGGTCAGCGTTACTGCTAGCGAAACTTAAGTTGCGCCGGCCCCATTCTCTCGCAGAACGAGTAATGAGTTGAGGAGGTTCTATGGATGGTGCACCTCTGGTTAAGCCAATGAATACAAGCACTGCCAGAAGTAGGCAAAGTTGTGCGATCCCAAGACGCTTTTCAAGAGTGACCTTGAAACATCATGAGCAACCATTATCATTTTTAGGGCGTGGAAGCCAACCTCTTCAGCAAGATAATTTACTCGCGAGAGTAATTCACTGTGTTCAAACTCCAGACGAAGTCGCTGTCTTTCCCACTCGTGAACTGTGCGCTGATACATTTGTGCCTGTATACGACTCTAAAAGATGTATGAGATAGGTTGTTCAAATTAGCTCCAGTGGAACTCACGGCGCTCTGCAACCTGCCAACATCCTCACCGAGCCTCCTGAGTACTTCACGTACACCAGAGGTTTGCTCCTCCACATAACGTGCATACAGGCTATGATTTGCCTCTAGGAGAGTCAGCCGGGTCATGATTGTGCGGTATATTGACTCTCCACCTGATCCGACGGGTGGAGGGATAGATAATGTTGGCAAGGCTGTCGCCACCGTGTTCGCAGATGGGCCGTGATAAGATGATAATGATGAAGATTGCGATAAAGATGCTTCGATACTAGAGGTATGCGGGAGTTCTGAAGAGATTAGATATGGGGATTGGGTAGGCGTGCTCTCATTAGGCGAGAGGGATGCTGTAGAGGATATGGCGGTGTCGAAAGACGTAACGCTCGTCTCGGAACTCAATACAGACGTTGAGGTAGCGGACGAAGTAGGCTGCTGCATGATGGCAGAGTCGGTAGGAAAAATGGTCGGTGAAGACGCCGTGGATTGAAGAGAAGAGTTGACTGAGCTATACGTCCGGTTCACCGCCTTGGATGCCTGAGAGCTACTTAGACTCATATGTGCCGTAGACAAGACCTTGGTTGTTGGAAGTGGGGTATCAAGAGGATATGTAGAAGGTATGTTCCGAGCCTCGAGCTCATCCATAAACTTGTTCAGTTCGAATCCCCCAGAACTGATGGGCAGGGGCTCCGTAATGGAGGAAAATACTTGAGCTTGAGCTCGGGCGAGTTTATGACTTTCTTCTTCCCACATGTCCCACTTCCATTGTTCAAGATGGGTCAAACCATAGACCCTAAGAAGGGAGACAGGACAGTAATACTCGTGTCCATAGTGTGAGTGAAAGTCGATCCGGATGTACCTGTAGAAATCGCGCAGGGTAGTTGGCGTGTGGAAAGACTGTACCTTGGTCAACGGCAAGGTTTGAATATTGGGGAGAAACACGCGCCTGCACACCACGGACATTCTTTCCCTTGTAAGTACCCGCCAGTACCCACCCGTCATCAGACGTCGTGTAAGTCTTTGCAACCTTCACCGAAAAATCCTTGAACACTCCGCTAAAAAACTCGAAGTTCGCGAGTTGCACGGTGTCAATTCTAATATCCTCGCACAACTCTACAACCACGAATTGTTCCTCCTTGCCTGTAGAACATGGCGAAAGCATATATTTATCCTTTTTTGATGATAGAATGGACGAAGGAGACTTGGCAGAGCGATGAGAAGTGTGTACGCGTGCAGAACAATCTAAGTTTGCATAATTGAAACGGTCGGTGATAGGTACCCTGAAATGGGGGGAGAGTGCCGTTTCCGGGAGGTATGCAGACGTGTCCGGCACAGTGACATTAGTTTCGTGGGTAGTACTTGACTCCGTGTGTTCTAAAGCTTCAATTTGGAGATGAGCAGTTACCCGAGGCTGGGTCTGCGACTGCGGTTTGGATTGGTACTGGAACTGTTTAGACTTCCACTCTTCAAATGAGAGCAGGACATCCTCGACATCATCTGGTCGTTCTATTGACGGAGGTGGTGTCAGGCAGCAGAGAGGTGGCTCAGGTTGGCGCTTGCGATGTGCGAGAACTATAGCGCGAAATGGGTCATTCTTGGAGGAGGGAAGAGCGACCGAGATGGCAAAAGCTGGCGAGGTAAGCAGGAGAAGAAGCAACGTCTTGGGCAGCGCCGTGAAAGAAACCATCAATAAAGTTTCTGACAACCACAGCCTTTTAGGTCTTCCAAAGAGTCGAAGACAGCTAAAGCGACATGGGTGATTCCGATAAACAGTTGTAGGAAGTCCAAGGAAGACACCGTTTGATCGCCACGTCGGCGAATCTGAGAACTACAATAAGTGTTTTGGTCACTTGCCCCTTGGGCCTGACAATCCTCAACGAGTAATTTAAACACAGGTTCACACAACAGAGGGTAATCATTGACCCGGATGTATTATTCAAGCAGACAATACATGCAAGGACTATGTTTGCAAGTATAAACATGGATGCATTAGACGGAAAACAGCATGAAGGTTTATAATGAACTCCGTCATCTTTCTAAACGTCGCACTGTAAACTCATGTTAATAAAATGAGTAAAAGTCAAAGGGAAACCATATACCATTCCTATCAACTCTCCAGCTTTGGTATGCATGATGAGTGCAACAATCAAGCCTACAGACGATTGTTAAATACAACACACTGTCTATACGAAATATCATCTTACCGTAAAGACCCAGCACTTCAGCGAAGATGAGAATCAAAATCTGCACACCATGTTAGATTTGTCCTTGACAAGACCAAGTTAATGAAGATTCACCATTCCAACGAAAAGTCGTGGCTGTTGTGCAGTACCACGGACACCAGCATCACCGACGATACCAATGGCGAAGCCTGCGGCAAGACCAGCGAGACCGACCGACAAACCAGCACCGAGGTCAATGAATCCTTGCGCAAGGGTCATTCTTGCCTGCACTAAATTGTATGCAATTCAGCATCCAGAATGATGGGCAGTAAAAGGACAGAACACACGCGAACTGGAAATGAGGACGGATACCACCAGACCGTAGATCTGCGCATTATCAGAACCGACGGGAGTTAAGATGGAGGAAAGAAAAAACTTACACCGATAATACCAGCCATGATGACAGGGACAACACACCTCATCACGAGGTCCGGCCGGAGGACACCCATAGCAGAAATACCAACACCAGATTTTGCGGTACCATAACTGCGGAAAATGTTCAATACATCACAAAACCTGCAACCCAAAAGTTTCAGACCTTGCACCAAGACCTAGCGCACACAAGCACAAGGATTGGTTAGAACATCAGAGCTTCTGACAACGTCTGCTCATAAGACTTACAGGCGAACACAATTGAGCAGGTGCAGCCCTACAGACTCTTCAGTCTCGAAAGCAAACAAGGAGAATTTAGAACTGACCATGGCACCAAAGAAGGGTGCGTAGACGGGACAAAGGTCAGACATGATTTGTACTTTGACTTTGAAGGAAGTGAATGAAGACTATTGGGCGACGCTGATAAGTGGTGGACGTAGTTCGAGTTGACGACGCCGTGGGGAGAAAGCCGATCGGACATTCAACACCTCGGCAGCAGCCATTGTTTGGCAAGAGCTTTAGAACTAAACAACCTCCTTCTCCCTTTGGAAACTTTCAACTGCCCGGAGTCCTCGGACGGCGTATCCGACTGGAAAGACACATAATGTCTGCTTCCTTGAGATTCACCCGAAGGGTAGGTCTTTTATAGAGCTTGCTTGCGCGTTCTCACAGAGGACACTATGCCAGGTGTGGAAATCATTCATAGACAACAAAGGTATTCCCACCAGACACTTTTTGGCGCGAGTCGCTGAATACAGCAGCTAGGGCATGATGCTCAGTGTTTTCCGAATGTGAGAGTATACCATCTTTACTTGCATCTGATACTGACCAAATCTTTCAGCTTGTCATTCACCGCGCAGTCCCCGGAACGGTTGATTTTTCGCTGAAGATAGATCAATCTAATTGTACGTACTTTTCTCTCTAGCTTTCATAAAACTTATCTCTCTGCAGTAAACAGAGTAGGGGTGCGTATCTCATTTTCCCCCAGTATCCTACTTATTGACGCACCAAACTAGACCGTGCACGGCGGCCTAATCCTGTCGCTGACTGATACCCTTGGCTCGCTCGCTGTTGCAAGCAAAGGTCACTACATGACTGGCGTTTCAACCGATATTGGTGCATCCTTTATACGACCTGCAGGCAGGACAGGCGATACCCTTCATGCACGAGCCACACTTACTGCCATGGGTAAGTGATGCAAGATTTGTTATAATGTTCTACAAGCTCACCAAACCAGGGAAATCCTTGGCCTATACTCGTGTAGATTTTACCAATTCTGTAGGCGATTTAGTGGCGTATGGATGTAAGACTTGTCTTTAGCACGCTGGGATACTTGACTAATCGCATTGCACTAGATCACACGAAATATGTTGGGAAATCGTCGTCTGACCCTGTGAGTAAAAATAATACTTTCTGGCTCATCAACTTGACAAATTTTCCTCAGAACAACGTGAAGTTTTCGGAAGATGGCGAACAAGTAATAGAAGGGAACGACGTTGACTGATATATTTTTTATTTTTACTGTGATCGTACCAAGTTTTAGAAATAACAACATTCACTTCGCACAGATGATCTGTGGCATAAACAAAGCGGCGGATCGTTGAGAAAAAAAACGACAATGTAAGAAAACAAACGTTTCTATCTTTTTGCAGTGTAATGAATGTCTCTATCAATCTGCATGATGCAACAGGTGGAGCAGGCGCAAAGCTGTGTCTTCCTCGCTCGCCCTCGTCAATGAACTATCCATCTTTCTCGATCTACCAAAGTCGATCAGGCGGAAGCTCTTGGTCGAAAACGCCCGTTGGATTGGCCACTCCGTTGGCTTGCCCTGCTGCCACAGAATGTTCCGCGCTGCGAAAGACTCGTGCAACCACCCTGCATGATGGAAGCGGAAGAGAAGCGATGCGCATTCTTGCTTGTCGTCCATGCACAATTCATCTGGGTTTATCTCCTCGCCACAGCACTCCAGGAGTAAGATCGGACTCAAATAGTTAGGATGATTCGTGCCATCAGTTGGATCATCGGGTGTGTAATACCCGTAGAACTGCGGGCAGAGTGCCCCGACGGGGACAGGATCGTGCAGAGGGGGCATGACATTATATCCGTTCCAGTGTTCGAAGAAGTGGTCAGGGAACGATTGATAGTTGCTCGCCTCCCGAGCGAGGTGGAGGTCGTGTTCGATTGAGAGTTTCGCAATAACAGAGACTGTCGCGGTGCGCGGAACTGTCCCCGAAGCACCACCGCCGTGTCCGCATTGATCCCAGGCGGCTCGCCACTTCTCATTAGTGTGGATGCGAAGACCTGGTCCAGTGTAAGATGCGACGCGGACGACCCTCGGAGGTTCAACGGTGAATATTTCTTCCTCGCTGTCTTCTTCACTCTGTTCACCCTCATTTTCTTCTCTGTCAGCTTGTTCTTCGTCCCCATGATCCTGCTCTGACTCCTCTTTGCCTTTCCCCTTGTCTTCCCTGGGAACAGACCCCAGCGTGCCCGGCTCCTCAGAGTTCTGAATCTCGTCCACCTCCATCTCGACGTCAGGCGACTCTTCCTGCTCTACTTTGGCTCCGGGTTCTAGATCCCGCCCGTTTACGGCGTCCGTTTTAACATCGGCATTGACATGCCCTGTTTGAGCTGGGGTACTGGAAGAGTCCGCAGGGGGATCTCCGTCCGAAATTGGCGCCGATTCAGCGTCATTGGCATTGGTGGACTTTTCATCACCCGGTTTGTCATCGTCTGGGCCGATGAAGGATGCAGTCACCTGTGGGAGCTGGTGTTCCTCAACGGTAATGTGACCAACCGTTCGCTTCGAGTCAGAGGCTTGCGAGGACTCTGTTCCGGGGGCGACATCCGGGCCGGTCTGTAGAGTTTCTTCAGGTTTCCCTACTGGGTTATTTAAAAGTGCTTCCCATTTCCCATCGTCCTTTAACTTCTGAATCTGTCGACGGGCGTCCGACTCCACACAAGTTTTGCACAGACGAGGCTCGATGAAAAGGTCACGGGGAAGCTCCCAATCCACACTATGCACAACTGAATGATTACCGGAGCCCACAGCACTTGGTGAAAGATAGAGATGAGCTTCTTCCACTTGCATCCTCTTCCGGGGTCGCGGAGGAAGTATGATTTCGATTAGCGGCTCTTCCGTCGGTCCTTCCTTACTGGAGGGGAAAATGTGCATCACGCTCTCTTTCTTCGCCGCTTCGTCTTCCGCTATCTCGGCTAGTTTCTGTGCCTTCAGCGCAGCCTCTTTGCCTTGTGGCGCAAGAGAGAGGGAATATGTTCGGACGACGTTTCGATTGGCAACTTTGGAAAGCCACGGAGTTTCGTAGTTGGTATCACCCTCATCGATAGATAATTTATTCCAAGGGTCGTGAACATGGAGCTTTTTAGGGAGAAGATATAAGGGAATCCGCTGTTGGAGAGTCGGATTCCCATCGTGCGTGCACGGGATGAAGGGATGTGGAGAGGGATAATGGTCTGGATGGAAGGGTGAATCGATGTTTGGCAGTGGCGCGGCAGGTTTCTCTGTCGGTTTGTCCGCAGCTTTTTCTGGCGACGTTTCGCCTGCTTCATCTACTTGCATGACGTCATTGAGCTGCACGCCGGCGGTTGCATCTTCTACTGCATCGTCGTTGGCAGCTTGTACTGCCTCCTCTTCTTGCTTGACACCGACATTCTTGTCCTGATCACCGACTGGAGGGATCGGATCCTCTGCATCTGCGACTTCTGCTATGTAGCTAGAACCAGAGAAGCCTGATTTTGCTTTCTCTCTAACCTCCTTTCGGCAGGAATACTGATCGAATATGCCCAATCTGACACGTGTGTCATAGCATTTGATCAGTTCCCCGATGTCAGCTACTGGTATCTCTTTGGGATCGTCTTCCTGATCGGCCCAAAAGAGCTCATCCTTTGCTGTAAGCTCACCAACCTGGCGCATCCATTTCGCAAGTCTGCTTCCTGTGGAATTGGTGATGTAGTTTGGCACATTTGGGAGACGTCGAACATGGTAGAAGTCGTAGAGCGTCGCACCCCACAAATCAAGTCCATTGCCTGCCTCCTTTCCCCTCAATGGAGATGGCTTGATAGCTTGTCCATTAGGATAACGAGGCCAAACGCGGAAGATAATGCGATTCTTTCCATATCCAACGCAATGTGGGTCGTTATCGTTTTGATCTTGGATAGACTTGGGGAGTTTGTGGGGGTTAATCGTACTGAAATCAGTGTATTCGGCTCGTGAATGTTCATCCAGGCTGCAACGAAATGGTTCTAAGGTGTGCAAGCAATGATGATAGGGACATACCCCTCTTCTTTAGGACCCTTTTCTTTGGATTTCTTGGATGGAGGCCCCTTGGCAGACTCAGAATCTACAGCCTTTGCGACGCGTCGTTTAGCCTTTTGGGTCTTCAAAAAACCCCGTTGCATGGCGGAATTTGATAGAGTTGATGTAGATGGGATGGACGATCCTAGGGGGTCACAAGTCGCAATTCTACGACACCCGCAGAAACGTTGAAGGAGTCAGATCAAGACCCAGAGGCAGAAGAGCGATCGTGACAATCAATGACTTTATGTAAGTAGTAGTGCGGGCGTCAATTATAAATGGGGTGAAGTATTTCCTAAATAGTCACCTCTTAGTACAGTTCCGTATGTTCGCGGTTCACCTGTACGAAGAAGGCTGTTCGTTTATCAGTGGATTATCTGGCCGTTGATCCTTAAAAGCACGTACAGTAGTTGCACCTGCACCTAGATACGCGAGAGGCTCAAGTGAAACCGTGACAGCCCCTAGCTCGGGTTGACAACGAGCTTTCGAGCTCTTAACACGAATGATTGTGAATTTCTTATGACAAGGAAGTGAGACTGAGTGAGTGATGAATACCACGACGTTGGAGAGCTCGAGGTGGGGATGTACTAGACCAAATACGTAGCAGGAAGTGGAACAATATTATTGTTCAACCGTGACGTTGTCTGGGTATTATTACTCACGTGACTAGGAACATATATTTTTCCGACGGACAGAGTTACTCTATAGATCTCAGTTGCGTTTCGTGCGCGGGCAAGCAGGTGGTTGAAGTTCATGCTACATTGATGTACATATTTCAAGTCGTATATATCACATGCGATAAACGGAGCTAACGAAAAGGGTCAAACAAGGGGATGTCAAATGTTGGACATATTGGCGGCGTGGGCCTTGGCAAGAAAGGAAAATATATGTATACAGCCCATTCACTTGATAACATTTCATACTTCTGTTCAGAAAACATTCACAAGTTCGGAATAGGTACGAGAGCGTGATGAGAGATTGCAAGGGAAGATCATAGGGGCGCTAAAGCGATGAAACTATTAGTGACGGGAAGATGGAATGATACAGAAAAACCAAGTACCGGGTGATTCCTGTCGTGAATTGGGGGGTAAATTCGATCACTTTGCCCTGACTATCTTTGACAGAAGAAAATTCCACCGTAGCTAACATAGTAACAATAGCGGACCATAAAGAGGCATCACCAGCATATTGGCCTGATTAAAGAATGAATCAACTGTATACGGTGATGAAATAACTCAGCCCACCTGGGCATGCACGCCGGCCAAAGCCGAAAACATATCCAGCAGGGTTATCATCTGTTAATGCGCCGTTGACGTCTAGGAACCTTTCCGGCCTAAAATGAGATGCATCCGGGTACCGTTTTTCATCCCGTGACATGCCCCTGCAATATAACATCAGTATTTTGAAAGCTAGAGAGGATTTATCTGACCATGCGTTGTACATGACGGTTGTTCCTGATGTACGATATTACAAATGATGCACTCGATGAATAAGAACAGCAGACCTTTCGGAATGAAATAACCATCATATGTATCATCACCCGTGGTGACATGTGGAACGCCTACAAAAACACCTTCAGCAAAGGCGAAATAATACGGCAAGAAAGATTACCAAGGGGTACGACAGGCTGCCATCGCAAAGTCTCACGCAGAATTGATTCAATATATGGTAGTGACGTTCTGTCTTCAAAGGTAGGTAAGCGATCCTGGCCAACCACTGAGTCGATCTCCGCTTGTGCGCGTCTCTGAACATCTGGATACAATACCATGGCGAGAGCAAAAGTCATGACGACTGAAGTAGTCTGCAAAGAAATTCAGGAGTTGACGATATGGTTCGGACATCCGCTAACCGTCTCGTATGAACCTGAATAGATATGTATCAATGAGAGGTATACTGTCTCTTGTAAAAAGATGACGAACCAACAATAGCAGTAGTAGCTGCTTTCTTTAAGGCACCCTCAAACAATGATCGGGATGTCTGATCTTGCTTCTCGATTCGTTGAAGATTTTCTGCCACCATCGAAAACCGACCAAGGGCCGAGTTTTCGACCTTGATGATTATTGAATACTGATTAATAGCTGGGACAGAACCAATATTTCTAAAAACGAAAGATGCCCACCATATGGTCCTGCGCGTATTGGAACGGCACGTCGGACATTTCTCTCATGCAATTGGTCGATGTTCGAGCATCGCGTTTGATTGAGGATCCCCAGCACCAGTCAGGTAACTTCAGTACTGCACAGTACAAAATGTCAGCTATTTTCATGGAGAAAAGAGCTGAGCTTACAGAAAGGAAAGATTTTGAGCAAGATTGCTTTCTCTGGGGTCATCACCTTGAGGCCAATAGCCAGTGCATTTTCTACGATTCGAACCAGAGGATCATCACGAGGACTAGTTTGGTAGCCGTAGGTCACTGACATCGCAACTGATGACGAGAATCTATGAACAGGTTATTAATAATTTGATGTTTACAAACACATAGACTGACGTTGCAAAGTGAGAATGGTAATGTTGAGGGTCGTCAATGAGGTTGACGATCATCTCACGAGCCTGCTTGATTTGTATTGGACGAAACTTGAGCGCAGAGTCAGGACGAAAAGTTTGGTGGAAGAGCCGTCGGGAAAGACGCCATTCGTCACCATAGCTTGTGAATACAAATACGTCCGACCAACCAAACCTGCCTGTATTCCATAATGATTCAATGGAAGAATGTTAGAAGAACGCACGGCTCAAGTGTGGCTATGTGTGGTCTATCAGAGTAAATGCGAGAACGCTTGTCCAGCAAGGTTTCCGCAACGTGTTGAGAATTGATCACCACGATTTCCTGGCCTAGAAGTCGCACGAAAAACAAGTCTCCTGATATGATGATCTGTACCACATGTGCACAGTAGTAATATCTGACCACGTACCATAAACAGCAGCCCATTCGGTATAAGTCAACCAAGGCTCCTTGGTGTTAAGAGACAAGACATTTCCTATCAGTGGGAGCGGCACTGGGCCAGGGGGAAGTTTTTTCTGTCTGTTCGTAATGAACCTCTTGAGGGATATGATGACAATAAAGGAAGCAAGTAAGATGGCGAGGTTAGCAAGACGACCATCAACTGAAGGAAACATGGTTAGAGCGGTGTGTGGGCAGACACCTAACGCATAAAGTGGACTTATAACTGCACGAAGAGCCATTCACCACAAGGACGGGCCACGGCATCAGTCAACCGGTGAGCTACCGATATTCCCGTATTTTGTAGGCTGGAATGCTCTTTCCTATACATGACGTTATAAAGCAATGAGCCATATTGCCGAGAGCTTCGGACCCTGAAATGCTGATGAGTCTTGCACCAGTTTGATTATCTGATATGCAACACACCTTATCTTCTTCTCATCGGTTCTCTCATGCCGTATACAACAGTATTAGTGCAGCGTATTAGTGTGTGCTGTAAGGATTGGTTTTATCTAAACCTTCTTATTGCATATTCACTTGCGCAATGGCGTCAAGTGGGGGCCCCAGGGGGACTCAGTACTCAGAAGTGAGACTGCAATCACAAAGCCAACAGCGATCCTCCGAACGTTTCAGAGGCAGTCAGATACCCACATCCAAAAAATCATTGTACGTCGAAATTTACCGGAACACAACACACACGGGACCGTACGACTCCGAACATCGGAATTGTGCCTCCAATACCTGCCGGGGAACGCCGTAACCCATAATTAGATCTTGCTCTTACTATTCACCCTGTTGGCTTCTTGTCGGTCAGTTGCACTTGAACATTCAAATTCATCAGATCTAAGAATAACAGCAGATCTGATCTCGCTGCCTTTTGTGCTTGGAATGGTTCAAGTATCACAGCAGCCATGTTTGCGACGACTTTAGTTGCTTCATGAGCGATTATGTAAAGGTAAGTGTGAACAGGGAGTGGACTTATCGGGAAATGAAGACCCTCCACCTTGGTATTTCATCTTCAACAAGAACCATGGCCCGCTACTTATACGCCCGCAGGCTGGACGGTACACTGGCTAGGTGACACATATGTGTATGGATACCACGTATAAATCATGTCGCACAGCGGGCAGATCATAATTTCGAAGATGATTTCGACCTCAAAAGAAGTGGATTGCGCTACCACTCACCAACCCGGCAATTTCGTGGCAGTAATCCCCCTGTGCATGTCGATAAGCTATCGTCGGAGGAAGACCACGACATTCTTGGATTATTGCTTCTTTTGGTTTCCTGATAGGAAAAATATTTAGAGAGGTACGATTGTGCGGCTCTGGTCCTCACCTAATGTCACAATTTCCCTGGTCTTCCGCACACAGGCCAATAGAAAGTTGTTCCTTCTATAAAGTTATCTCTCTGTTAACAAGTTTATATTGGTCGCTGATAGCAATAACCACTCACTCACTGACTTGTGTTCTTGGATTTAAAGCGTGGTTGTGTCATTGACAAACCTAAACAAGGGTCGTATCCTTGCCGTCGTCCTTCCAGCCCATAATGGATTACAGTGAGTAGTTGTTTGATATCGGGCAGGACTGTCGACCTAATGTATAACCTAGAATTTGCTCTATGGCTTGTTCCCTCGGGACCGGAAGCTGAGGCACTACGCTATTTTATGGAATTCCGACCAAGGCCTGATAAACCAAGGAACGACAAACCAAAAAATGTCAAATCCAAAGATGTCAAACCAAAGGACGATAAACCAAAGAGAGACAAATCAGATGACGGAAAATCAAAGGACGGAAAATCAAAGGGCGGAAAATCAGATGACGGAAAATCAAAGGATGGCAAATCAAAGGATGGCAAATCAAAGCACGGAAAATCAGACGACGGAAAATCAAAGGATGGTAAATCAAAGGATGGCAAATCAAAGGGCGGAAAATCAGAGGACGGAAAATCAAAGGATGGCAAATCAAAGGACGGAAAATCAGAGGACGGAAAATCAAGGAGTGATAAGTCAAGCACTCACTCGATATCATCTCGCTCGACATCCTCCTACTTGAGACCTTCTTATCCAAGGCCATCTTACGACAGACCACCTCACTTCCGATCATCTCACTACGGACCACCTCACTTCGGACCACCTCACTACGGACCACCTCACTACGGACAATCTCACTTCGGGCCATCTCACTTCGGGTCAGGACCATCTTACTTCGAGTCAGGACCATCTTACTTCGGATCACCTCACTTCGCACAACCTCACTTCGGAACCCCTTACCTCAGATCACCTCAATTACCTCACTCCAGATCACGCTCCAGATCATACCCCCGCTTCGACGCTCATATTACCCTCGCCACTTTCTCATGCCCGTATCGCCCTAACACATTTCAATTGGTGCCTATGGGTGCCAAAACGACTCCCGTGCATTTCGAGTCCATGGAGGTCGGAGACGACTACCTCAGCTCATTATCCATCGTCGCTCAAAAGTCCAGCGAGCTCATGCAGCTACGCGATCGTATTATGGACCACCTGAAGGCGAACAACATTCGAATCTTGCCAAACCCTTCATTTCCACGCGTGTCCTTGTTCTACCTAGATGAATCATTCAAAGGAGAACGCTTGCTTCTTAGCAAACAACTGCGAGAGACAGGAAGAGTCCACGAAATAAAAGGCGGGGAGAAAAAGATGTCGCTGAATTGTAGTGTGGATGGTGCTGGGCCTGAATTCGACGCCATGCAAGGATTTGAAGGAATGGAAATATGGCTCGTTGATTGTACTGAAGGAGTGGAAGATTGGAGCGTCCTGGATAGACGGTATCTCAAGCCACGAATGCCCAAGGCCAAGGTCTACGTGAAAAGAGGCGATCCTTACATGAATATATTTGGGAGTGAAGGGCCTGATCCTTACCAGGTCAGAGAAATGGCGTCCTATATTCCGAGATGGGGCGAACCCGGAAATTCTGGTATATACGGACCAATGGCACCGTATTATCCTCTGGACCCAAGGTAGCGTGCGCCTTTCTGACTGTGATTTGCACTCAACATAATTCGAACCACAGATATTATACGCATAATCACGCACAATGGGAAGACCCGAGGATGCGAGGCAATATGTATCCAAGTCAGAACAGGTGGGGATATGGCTCCAACATGAATGCATACCGGGAACTGGAAGGATACTTTTGAGTCCACCGGCGGCATTTGTGCACATTACCTGATATTAGCTGTAACGCTCCTTAGATTAATATCGTCAGTTACACTTGCATTTAAACCATAGATGATATAGAGATATAGATGGATAGGAATTTACCTTGACGGTTTTGATATTACAGCGTGTGCACCGTGGTCGTACATGCCAATCTATCGCATCCCAAAGGCTCTTAAGAAGACAGGATTCAGGATTCCTGTTGCACTTCCTGAAAGCTGTGAGAGTGCAATTTACTCCTTCGCCGACTGTCGGATCGATTACCATCGCGGTGCCCTTCTCGAGTGAATGATATCGATGCATCGATATTTGCTGCTGGGCTACAGATTGCGAGTTGTCACCTGCGGACTGCGGTTATGGGTGCAACTTAAAAGTGAATTATATGCTAGCGCAGTCTTTCAAGCATCGTGAATAAGGTTGTTTTGATTGTGTACAGACCGAGGGCAGAATTTGAGAGAAACTGTTAAAGTTACGTATCGTTGATTCGTGATTGCTAAACCGGCATAGAGCGCCGAGTTCGGAGCCGCCGGCTACTCGCCCGTACACGCTTTACAGTACCGTGACTGACTTATACGTGGCGAGAGCACCGTCGGCTGCAACGTGCTCACTGCTCAGCAAGCCCTGCTGAGCCAGCATGGACGAAGCATCTGATGTTATGCCCAGTGAACTACCAGTTGAACGCCGCCAACGTCACACGCGGGATCGTACGGCTTCGTTGAATTCACTTTCTCACTTCAAAAGTGCATCGTCCAAGCACATACGACCTAGGTCCACCCTCCGAAATCGTGGTTCTAATGCAAGCATGAAGAGCGTCGGGTACATATCATTCTTACAAGCTTTAATAGTGCTTATGTTTGTTCCCCAGCTCCGACACTGACCACTCGGAAATTATTGCCCCCATTCCTCGCCGACATCTCCTGCAAACATCACAAAGTCTTCATTGGCTTAGGGTTGACACGTCGTCGGGAGATGAATGGCTCAACAGGGGTGTCTCTCCCGTTTCCGCGTCTTCAGTTGGCTCTGTCTTTCCAAATAACAGGATGGCCAATCGACTTAGCTTCACCGCTCTCATGGAACACGAAAGAACCGCTGTTGGCCCATCATCCACGGCTGATGCGAGAATACTTGAGGATGATCAGGGAACTATTGGAGCTGGAAGGCGATTTGTGAGGTGGATGCATCGGAATAATATGAAACACTGGGTCGTTCCTTCAGCTATCGCCGCATCTACCTTGGTGAAATGGTGCATCGGACTCGGAACATATTCTGGTGCGCATAATCATTGTGCGCGTACTTTAATCTCAAGTCGCCCCATAGGCCACAATACGCCACCTATCTTCGGCGATTATGAAGCCCAGCGACATTGGATGGAGCTTACTGTACACCTCCCCGTTGGGGAATGGTACACTTATGACTTGCAGTACTGGGGTCTTGACTATCCTCCTCTGACTGCATATGTTTCATGGCTATGTGGAAGAATGTAAGTCTGTCAAGTAGAATTCGTCATACTATCTCCATTTATCTTGTTCCTCAGTGGGTCTTTAATCGAACCCTCATGGTTCACGCTACAGGCATCTCGCGGCTTAGAGACCGGAGGAAGCAAGCTATTCATGCGAGCCACTGTGGTCATCCTTGATCTCCTACTTTATATTCCAGCATTGTACACCTTTGTATGCGCATGGCAGGGCACGCGATCATCTAGGAAACGGGTACGTTCGTCGATCTATTGTCATAACAGCTCCAGATGTTTATGGTGGTATCCTCGTATCGCGAGCAGCACGCTGCGCTGCTCACATTACTGTTTCATCCAGCACTTCTATTGATCGACTTTGGTCATTTCCAATATAACTCCGTCATGTTAGGTAAGGCACTCTTTATTGGTAGTATTTCTGATTCTCACTAGCATTTTCTCAGGTTTAACACTACTTGCGATTAACGCCTTCGCAGCCGGACATGATCTTTTTGGAGCTATCTTCTTCGTCCTGAGTTTAGGTTTCAAACAGATGGCTCTTTACTACGCACCTGCGGTCGGCTCTTACCTGATTGGAAAATGCATTTATTTAGGCCCCGTCCATGGGTAAGTCTGTCGCAGCTGCAGGACTGCTTTCAATGTACTAAATATTCTCCAGCACTCGCCTGTTTCTGCGTCTAGCGCTGACGACAACATTAGCCTTCGTCATCATGTTCGCACCCTTCCTTCCTCCCTTCTCTCCTCTCTCCACTATTGCTGCGCCTATCATTCGCATCTTCCCATTTGGACGTGGTCTCTTCGAAGACAAGGTTGCCAACTTTTGGTGCTTTACCAACGTGTTGGTGAAGTGGAAGCAAATATTTGCTAGCAGAGAAGGTATCCTGATCAAAGCATCTACTGGCCTTACCGCTCTTGGATTCTTACCTGCTGTGGCTGCGCTCATTTTCGGTGGTTACAAAACTCGGTTGCAGAAGGACGCTCAAAACCACTCAGTGGACGTGTCTCCTTCGATGGCACCGTCATCACCAACGCCAATTTTGCCGCTATTACCCTATGCGCTCCTAACTTGTTCCATGTCGTTCTTCCTTTTCTCCTTCCAGGTGCACGAGAAGACTATTCTTATTCCCCTCCTACCTCTCACACTCCTGCTGTCGGGCGCCGCACCCACTGACGATGTATTCTTGTGGGGAGCTTTAGGCAACAACGTTGGTGTCTTCAGGTAAGCAGTGTGCGATTTTGCATGTTCGCGCCGCTAATTGGGATGCTGTTCACTTGTAGCATGTGGCCCTTGCTCAAAAAAGATGGACTGGGACTTCAGTACCTTGCAATGCTTATTCTCTGGAACCGGTTGACTGGGTATAATCCGTTCAAAGTACGCTATCGGAATTTTGTGGGACTCTTATCTTCCGTACGAAGTGCTTCTTTTGTGCGGTTCTGTCACAGTTAATGACATCTAATCACAGGTGGTACATACAGTAATAATAATCCTCCACCTCCTCGAGCTTGTAGTGACGCCTCCTGCACGCTATCCCGACCTCTTCCCAGTCCTCAACGTCCTAATATCCACCCCGATCTTTGGACTTATCTGGCTTTGGAGCATCAAGCGTTTAGTGGAAGTGAGCTGGGCTATAAGCGGACTGCCTGGAAAACGCGGAAAGGAAGGACCTTCTTTAGCTGCGTCTGCAATCAGCACAACCTCGTCGAGCGCAACGTTCGGGCACAGTCCGATGCGTGGAGAGATGGGGGTGCGTGCGACGAGTCTTGGGTATGCAAGTGGGCGCGGGCGTGGACAGACTGATGCTAGGAGACGAGCGCTTGTAGCGAGTGCAGGTGGTGACCGAGAGCATTGAGCGTTGGGATTTGGCTTCGTTTGTTTTTATTTAAAGGAATATATATGATGGCGCTGCGGCGCATATCCACTCATGATTCTTCGCAACAGCCAGATTTCAAGGAGAGGGGGACTTCTCGTCCTCACACACACTGGCTCAATTCAAATGCTTCTCTCATTAGGTTGTACGCAGTGACACGCATCATTCCGTAGGTCGGAAAGTGCAACAGCTGACGTTGTGCAGTCAGTGCAGCTTCGCACTCACATCGGCGGAGGCCTTTCTGCACTTGCTCCGTCCACGCGTGTCCTTCGCTCTCGCAAGGATGGTCTAGCTCTCACCTCTGGCCTTCCCGACGAGATTCTTGCGATTATATCCATACTTCGAAGATACACTAGTCCCTGTAGGTCTGATGCATCGGGTTTGCTAATTATGATTAATAGGTTGTGACTCGTTGGTACACTTTTCAGTGCGTCAGTGATGCATCGGAACACACTAACTACCAGACTCTATTACCCTGGGACTCAACCTCTGTTGTAGTCGTCCCTAGGCCGCTGGCCTATGCCATTCTGTCGCGGGATCGCATAGCAGATCTTGCTCCCCATTTATATCTGTACTGCGAAGCAGGCTGCAGCAAATGGACGAAACAATGTCGGGCTCGAGAGAGTCCATTCAAGGCCAAAAGGAGGTTGCGATTCAGAAGAAAACATTCCATTTTCTCGCTGCTGAGCGCTGAGCATCCATTATGCATATACTGATGTCGAGGAGCTATTCAAACATGTGTTTAATATGTCCCATCATCACAACTGACTTTTCAGCATGTTCTGACTAAATCTAGTGGCACTATCACGCCGTCACAGTGGTGGAGGACGTATCCGAAGCTTTGGCAGGTGTATGTCATAAACTTCTCGACCGCATACCTCTTGGTGATGGGTCCAGGTAAGTTACAACGTGAATGTGCAAGATACGGCCGGTCTGTGTCTACGCAGACACCAGGACAAGTTGACCCCGAGATTGAGATAGCATCATTAAAACTCAGCTAAGGCGCATGATTCTGATCACAGTGATAGTAGGTATGATAGACTGATAGTGCACAAGCTCGGTTGCATTAAAGATGTCAGCATTTTGATGCCGCAGCGTTGCCGCTAGGGAATTTCCGACAACAACACCAGACTCAACCCGGCGAGGTTGGGAGTAGTACTATAGCAAAAAGATGTTGCAGTCGTGAAAATGCACCATGCACCATAGGCTCGTGTTTTCATATACTACCTACTTGCGACCGTAACCGTGACTCACAATCGGAAGGTATGAACCACAGTCAACGGCAGCCACGAACTTCTCAGAACGCAACTCGAACGCCCAGGTAAATCGGTTCGCGCATAAGCCGGTGCATCAGACGATTGGTGAGTTGCAGATATTGTCATATGTGCTGATATATGATTATATATAGAAAATGTTTTCGTTCCATTGGAATATAAGGCCATGTATAACGTCGGAAAACCACCGCAATCAACGTAAAGCACCTTGGGGAGATTCACGAGTTCTTTGATGGTTGTCTAGCAAGTCCGATTAAAGAGCCATCATGTGTTCCCAGTACGCCACTTGACCGCCCAGGGAACGGCTTCGTGGAGAAGCCGGCTGTCTATTAGCAAGTCTGATTCAAGGGCCATCATCATGTGCTTGAACTTCCAACAGCAGCTAAGAACTTCTCGAACG